CAGCCCTGGATTCTCCCAAACTCCAGTCCTGCCAGAGTCCTGTCTTCCCAGCCTGTCTCTGAGCCTCCCTTCCCTCCCCTTCCCACATCCACAGAGAATGGGTCCCTGCCAGGTGCAGCCCTTGTGGTTTCCCAGCGCCAGAGGCAGCCGTGGAGAGACAGAAGCCAGGGAGGGGCAGCACCCAGGCTGTACCCACAGTATTGGCCAACCTGCAGCCTCTCAGCCAGCACCTGACTAGAAGGTTCCTCAAAGAGAGTGACCTCAGCCACCAGCCTGAGCTCTGCCTGCCTCAGCCATGAAGTGGGCACCCAGGAGGCAGAATGGGCCAGAGGGGCGCCATCATTAAGACAGTGGTGAGGTGGGAGTAGGCCACCAGGCCCCGCGAGAGCACAATGGACAAGTTCCGGATGATCTTCCAGTTCCTGCAGTCCAACCAGGAGTCCTTCATGAATGGCATCTGTGGCATCATGGCGCTGGCCAGCGCCCAGGTGTACTCAGCCTTCGACTTCAACTGCCCCTGCCTGCCGGGCTACAACGCGGCCTACAGTGCTGGCATCCTGCTGGCACCACCCCTGGTGCTCTTTCTGCTTGGCCTGGTCCTGAACAACAACGTGTCCATGCTGGCAGAAGAGTGGAAGCGGCCGCTGGGCCGCCGGGCCAAGGACCCTGCTGTGCTGCGCTACATGTTCTGCTCCATGGCTCAGCGCGCCCTCATCGCACCTATCGTCTGGGTGGCCGTCACGCTGCTCGACGGCAAGTGCTTCCTCTGTGCCTTCTGCACCGCTGTGCCCGTAACCGTGCTGGGCAATGGCAGCCTGGTGCCCGGTCTACCTCTGCCCGAGCTCACCCGCCTGCTGGCCCGGGTGCCCTGCCCAGAGATCTATGATGGTGACTGGCTGCTGGCCCGTGAGGTGGCCGTGCGTTACCTGCGCTGCATCTCCCAGGTGAGGGGGCCAGACGGCCTTGGGCTGGGACTCCCCTCACAGGCTGGGGTCCTTCTGGAAGGGCCCAATCCCCCACCTTTCAAAATGGGCCTTCCTCAGAGCACAGTCATGTTTCCCAAATAGATTGGGGTTCCCCTGGCTGGGCTGGGTCTCCCCACTGACACAGAGCTCTGTGGGTAAGGGGCATATTTTCCCAACTGAGGCAGGGGCTTTTCTCAGAGCAGTGCCACCTGGGGAAAGTATTATGGCTACCTCAGTCCAGAGGTCTGTGCCCTGCCCTGAGGTCCCCAGAGCAGAGCCGATGTCTTGACCAGGCCCACACCCTCCATCGAGCTCCAGCTTGGAAGCCTGGGCAGTTTACATCCTTGGCCTCTTCCAAACCAGGGCACTGTTAAGGCTGGTGGGTGGCTGGGCCATTTGGGTGCATTTCCCTGGCAAATGCCCCTAGCTGGCACTCGGTGCTCAGAGAGTGGGAGCTGAGGGTCTAGGTGCTCCTGGAAGGGAGGGCTTGGGGGAGGGGGGTGCACTGTTGGGACATGGCCTGAAGGCAGGGTTGGAGGGCCCATTGCCCGGGAAATCCAGAGTTTGGGTCCTCCCCAGCCTGCTCGCATGTGTGCCACTCTCTTTCTGGACCTTCACCCCTCTGAGCCTCTCAGGCCTCCCATGCCATCAGTGCAGTGTGGGGAGGAAGGCCCAGGCAGCATACCCTCATAGCCTGTGGGCTGAGGCTGCCAGGGAGGAGGCAGGGAGCTGGGCCCGCCCTGCAAGGGCTAGGGAAACATGTACACTCTGCCCTGGCAAGTCCAGATAACCCAGCTTCCCTATCCAGCCCAGGACTCTGTCCTGTGGGGCCGGCATCACCACCAAATGCCCACGGGAATCTCACACTGAGTGTAAAATCCAAAGTCTGCTTCCCTCCCACACCTGCACCTCCTCTCCTGTGGGCACTTGTGCCATCATCCCAGGCCTGAAGGTCTGGGGCAGCTGTCCAATCACCTGACCTTTAAACCATTGCATTGTAAACAAATAAGCCCCCAAGAGGACAGGCTGCCTGGCTGGCTTATAGACATGTTTCATATGCTTTTCAGAGGTTGAATTCAAAATTCAATTTTAGAATTAGTTGGCATCATCTAAAAACTAGAGATTTTCATAAAAAATCAGATTTCCAGCTTTACTGGAAACATCAGGAGATCTACGCAGTCAGGGCTCACATTTGGCCCTCCTGGGGCAGCATAGGGGATGTCGCTCCCAACCCCTGACAGAGAACGTGCTCTGCAGCTGTGCCCTGGAGGTCTGCTCTGCCCTACTCACCAACCCCCTCGGTAGGCATTTGTGTCTGTCCCACCTACTCCATCCTGAGTTGGTCAAACAGCCCAGGGGAGCAACTGGCCCCCTTCCCCCAGTGAGTTGTTGGCAGAACAGAACTAGCACCCCAGAGTCCAACGCTCTTCAGCTCGGAGTTAGAGTGCTTGTCCAATTTGTCTCTGTGATCCCTGAGGGCTCGGCTCTGAGGAGGAGGGGTCCTATGGCCCTGGGAGGTCAAGGAAGTTTCCTGAAGGAAGAGGCATAGTTAGCAAGGGCCTACTGTCACAATAATAGTGGCTAACAGTTACTGAGCCCTAACTATGTACCAGGTGCTGTGCTAAATTTATTATTACTTCTAGTCCTCACAAGAACCCTATGAGACATATACTATCAATAGCCCCATCTTATAGATGGGGAAACTGAAGTACACAAAGGTCAGACATCTTGTTCCTGGTCAACTAGTTAAGTAGTAGAGACAGAATTCAAACCCAGGCAGCCTAATCCCAAGGTCTTCCCAGTTGACTCCTGTGTATTGGGTGCCAGGCCTATATGTGAGGTGTCTTACCCACATGATCTCATTTCCATCAGATGGGTATATTCACACCCATTTTACAGAAGAGGAAATAGAGAACAAGAGGTGAAGTCACTTTCCCACTAAGAGCTTTCTTCCCTAATGGCCCTGACATAGAGAGGACTTTGGGAGGTTTGGGCAGTGCCGGGCTCTCTCTTCTCTCTCCTGCAGGCCCTGGGCTGGTCCTTCATTCTGCTGACCACACTGCTGGCATTCGTCGTGCGCTCTGTGCGGCCGTGCTTCACACAGGCTGCCTTCCTGAAAAGCAAGTACTGGTCCCACTATATTGACATCGAGCGCAAGCTCTTTGATGAAACATGCACAGAGCATGCTAAGGCTTTCGCCAAGGTCTGTATCCAGCAGTTCTTCGAGGCCATGAACCATGACCTGGAGCTGGGTCACACCCGCGGGGCACTAGCCACAGCCCCTGCTGGTTTAGCTGCCCCAGCTACTGCCGGTGGTGCTGAGGAGGAGCGGGAGAAGCTGCGAGGCATCACTGATCAAGGTGCCATGAATAGGCTGCTCACAAGCTGGCATAAATGCAAGCCACCCCTGAGGCTGGGCCAGGAGAAGCCACTAATGGGCAATGGTTGGGCTGGGGGCAAGCCCTGGCCTCCACGCAAGGAGGTGGCCACCTACTTCAGCAAAGTGTGAGCCACGCCAAGTGAGGAGGCAGGAACAGGTCTGAGACCACCGCCCCTCTTGCCTCCCAAACCAGATGGAAAAATAAAGGCTGCAGGAGTTGGGCAGTCAATTCCTGGAGCAGACCCGCATGCCCAGATATTCGCCTGACCAGGAGGCAGAAACCTTGGCACTGGAAATGGACCTCACTCCTCTAGCTGTGTCACTGCGCTGGATGGCCCTGAGGCAGCAGGGCCATGAGCAGGATTAGTCAGAAAGGTTCAGGACTTATCTGGGGAGAGGACAAGCTCCCAACTGCCCAGCCCCTTCCCAGGCCACTTCATCCCTGGTTCACTAACTCCTCTCAGGTTCTATGATGTCCTTGGCCCAGCATCCATTCTTGTCTGTGATTTTTAGGACCCCCATATCCTTATGCTCAAGTCTCAGAGTGGGAGGGTGTCCAGCCATCTCAGAGGCGGGAATTCTGGAGTTCTCTGAGTGTAGCCAGTCTCCTGAGTGAAGCTGAGTGGGCTTAGGTGGGCCCTAAGAACACGACACATCACCTGGTGTGACACACCTGCAGTGACAAGATGCAGAAACTAGGTCCACTCAGGAGAAGCCAGGGTATGTGGTCACCATAGAGGTCACTCACCAACTGTCAAGCTAGAATGCACATTTATTTAGCACTGCACATAAAAGACCTGCCTTAGTGTGTTTGAGTTGCTATAACAAAATACCATAGACTGGGTGACTTATAAAAACAGAAACTCATTTCTCAAAGTTCTGGAGGCTGGAAGTCCCGGATGGTGGTGTGCCGCATGGTTGTGTTCTGAAGGCCCTCTCCCTGGTTCACAGGCAGCCATCTTCTTGAAGTGCTCCCACATGTGGAAGGGGAGAGGGAACTCTCTGGAGCCTTTTTTAGAAGGGCATGAGTCTCATTCATGAGGGCTCTGCTTCTCCCTTGAGATCCCTTTCTGGGATAGCCTGGGCATCTCTGGTTGTTACAAAGGGCTTTCCTCAGTACCCTGCCTCACTGTAGTTTCTACGCCACCACTCAGAGCTCTGCCCACGGGGCCTCAGAGAATCCTACACTCCAGAATTCACTTGTCAGCCCTCCTGAGATCTGAAGCATACCTGGTGAGTTAGCTTAAGGCTGAATAGAAGAGCAGGCAGGAGGAAGGTTCGCCCAGTCAGGGGCAGGATGGCTCAGAGGGTGGCAGAGCCTGGGCTTATGTATCCTGCCAGGGGTCAGCATCAGTTTGATGGTACCAATCTAACCCTGCTGGGGTTTCATTCCAGCAGCTCTTGTCTGGTGGGGTTCAAGTATGGGAGGTACTCTAGAAACTAGCCTGGAGGGCAGCCCCAGGCCAGACTTCCTGGAAGGCCCCCCCACCTGGCCCCTGAACTGGGCCCACTAGTGTGGAGCACCATCAGGCCGATGGGCAGACAGCTCTGCTCAGGAAGGCAGGCTGGGCCGGGAGCTTGCCAAGCTGCTGCTGAACTGGCGCCCAACTTCCTCTCCTCTTGCACCTCCCTCCCACCCGCCCTCCTTGGCCTGAGGCCCCAGGGCTGTTTTTCCACTAGCTGGCGCATGCGTTTTATCCCACTGTTTCCTTTTCTTTTCTGGAGTTAAACTTTTCTGAAGACACAACCAGCCCCAGCGCCTGCTGGTCTCAAGTCCCTCCTGCAGAGAAGAAAAGCAGAGGGAGACCCCAGAGCTACCTGCAACACTTCGGGCAGAGCAGCTGCCCTACTGGGCAGCCAGCCCTAGAGTCCCACACCCGGGGACTCAGCCCCAGCCACTCAGAGGCCAAGGCCAGTGGTGCCTGCAGCTGGCCCCAGGTAAGGAAGGGCCCCTCCTTTGGGTGTGCCAGTGACAGCATATGGCAGGGCTGCTCTGAGGCTGCCCAGAGGGACTGTTCTGGGGAGCGGGGCCTCTAACTGAGGCTCCTCACTCTGGGCCCTGCCAGCCCCACCCTCTCCCCCATCTGCCTGTCCCTTGTCCTGTTGTTTGGGAGGTCCCACGGAGGCCTGGGTGGGACCCCTCCCTGGCCTGGGGGACAGGGACAGTAGTCTCAGATGGCCTGGTCCCTCCTCTGCTCACCACACACCAGTGTTTAGTTATCATACCACACTTTGGATCCAGGCTCCCTTGGGGAGCTCATTAGGAGCCTTGAAGCCAAGCAGGGGAGGGAGAGGGGGCTGCCTTTAACACACCTATTGCCAGCAATAGTACAAACTCTTTTTCCCCAGGGTGAGACCAGAGCCCTGGGCTGTGAGTTGGGGGAAGAGTCAGATCCCTCCTCCTCCTGCATGCCGTGTGGCGCCCATTGGCAACCCTGGCCCAAGACCGGAGGGCTGGTGGGGTAGAGAGGAGGCACAGAAGGAAATACGGCAGGTCTCCCCATGTTTGTTTGCTGTGCACTGCATCCCTCTACTCTCTGGCTTCTTCTGGGCTGCAGACTTTGGTTTTTCATCCCTGAGATGGGGAGGACATGGGGCCACACCCTGGCCTGTCCTGCTTGGCTTATGGGGGTGGAGCCTGTGATGGGAGTTGGGGCAGAACGTGGCTGGAGCCTGAGGCTAGGGCCACTTCTTGACGGGCTGCCAGTGCTGCTGAGGCCCAAGGCAGAGCAGACTGGGGAGGGGTTGGTGGGCACGGCTGAGTCTTAAACCTTCTTCAAGGCTTCCTGTCGCTGGCAGGTCGGGCAGCCCCTGGGACCTGGGACCTGAGTGGAACAGGGTTGTGGGTAGGCTGCTGAATAAGGAGGGGGGAATGGTGGAGAAGGTCACCAGGGCTCTCATGGGCGGGGAGAGAGCAGGGTCAACAGACCAACAAAATGGAGGATTCACTTAGCCAACCCACCCATGTCAGCTTCCCAAGCCTCCTTAGGTCATGCTCAAAAGTCCTGCCTGGACACCTCCAGATTTCAATGGCATCAAGCAAGGCACTTCATTATCTGTAGGCCTCAGTTTCCTGATCTTTGCAGGAAGGAGAATCATCTCCCCCCACAACCCTGCCCCACTTTGGGAGCTGCCCTGGACTTGGCAGGGTGAGAGACGCTGGGCTTCACACAGAGGACAATTATCAGACACTGTTTATCCTTTCTTCCCTCCAGCATCCCTGAGAGCAAGGCCCAGAATATTCATTCTCTTTTCACAGATGAGCACACTGAGGCCCAGAGAAAAGTCATTTAGTATGCTGAGCCAGGATCTCCTAAACCAGTCCAGAGCCTGAGGCCTCCGAAGTGAGGTGTTTATGAACTCCAGGGATGCTGCACCAGGCTCACCACTGACTGGAGGCCCCTCCCTCCACACCTCCCCCCACAGCACAGGGCCAAGGCCAAGTCCCTTATCCACCAGGATACCCGTTTTTACACCCAAAGGCTAGAGCCTTGAGGACACAACCTCCAAATAGTCCTAGGTCCCTAAGCACAGCAGCACTCCCGAAGGAAAGCCATCCCAGGCCCCAAGGCCACTCCAGTGCCTCCCTCAAGGGAAGCTTGTGGTAGTAAGCAGAACTTGTCTGAGGCAGGCAGACCTTACTGAATGTCAGCTATGCCACTTATACGTGACCCTGACAAGCCACTCACCCTCAGGAAGCCTCCACCTTCTCTCTATATACTGGGGATATGACAGCTCAATGAGAATCATGATGGGCAATGAGGGACATACGGTGCCTCGCACATCCAGGAGCTCGGGAGCGGTGCCTGCTATCATTCCCCCCAGGACCCTAGGCTCCCAGAGTCTCCTTCTCAGTAGCCTGGTCATCCAAGATTTCTTCAATCTACTTTCAGAGGCAAACATTTATTAGTCATCTACTATTCCACAGGAAATACCAAGCCAGCCACTGTAGCAGATAAAATGGCAAGCCCGTGCCCTGCCTTCAGGTGCCCACCAGCCTGCACTCCTTCCTAGTTGCACCAAGATCCATCCAGTCCAGTCTCTGCTGCCGCCGTCCCTGCAGTTGGGCCTGGCCGGTTTGTCATCATGGCAGCCCTGATCGCAGAGAACTTCCGCTTCCTCTCACTGTTCTTCAAGAGCAAGGACGTAATGATTTTCAATGGGCTGGTGGCACTGGGCACAGTGGGCAGCCAGGAGCTGTTCTCTGTGGTGGCTTTCCACTGCCCCTGCTCGCCAGCCCGTAACTACCTATATGGGCTGACAGCCATCGGCGTGCCCGCCCTGGCACTCTTCCTCATTGGTGTCATCCTCAACAACCACACCTGGAACCTGGTCGCTGAGTGCCAGTACCGGAGGACCAAGAACTGCTCAGCTGCTGCCAACTTCCTCCTTCTAAGCTCCATCCTGGGCCGTGCGGCCGTGGCCCCCGTCACCTGGTCTGTCATCTCCCTACTCCGTGGTGAGGCCTATGTCTGTGCTCTCAGTGAGTTTGTGGACCCCTCCTCACTTACGGCTGGGGAAGAGGGCTTCCCACCAACCCATGCCACAGAAATCCTGGCCAGGTTCCCTTGTGGAGAGGGCCCTGCCAACCTGTCAGGCTTCCGGGAGGAGGTGAGCCGCAGGCTCAAGTATGAGTCCCAGGTAAGGCTATGCAAAAGCAACCTCCCTCTCCTTTCTTCCCAGGTGGTGGCTGGTGGTTGTTAGGTTGGCCCAGCGTTAAGAGATGAAGTTGGGAGTTGATTCTCAGGGGCTAAGGTTTCCAGGAAAGCACTAGATTATCAGTCAGGTATCAGAGATAGATAACCCATGGGTTAGTGGGGCAAGGGTCAATTCCAGCCCCAAAGAGATCATTTTAAACATTAAAGAAATGTCTTTTTGGCCCACACTGAGCCTTGATACCAGTCACAGGTTAAGCTCTTTACTCCTATCTGATTGAGCACAAAACCCTTCAAGTTTATGAAACATTTACTGTCAGCTGTAAATTGATAGTGGAGTGTGGCTGCCTCTGGGGATGAGCAGTTCCCCTCCTGAGAAAGGCCCCAGCAGAGTCAGCCTTAAGTGCTGCTGATAGGGGAGTCCCGTGAGCCACAAGGGGTGTCAAATCAGGAAACGGCAGCCGCTGCCTGGATCCTGGCTTCAGCTTTGGCTTAGTTCTGAAGCAGAGGCTGTTCAGCCGAGAAAGGCGAAAGGCAGAGACCTGGGCAGAACCAGAAAACTGAGCTGGAAGTGTTAACTTACAGAAATGGGGTGAGACAAGCAGCACAAAAATTTCTAAAAGTCTCCTTTCGGATACCTAAGAAACACAAGTAGCAGAGAAGCAGGGCTGGAGACAGCGCCAAAGGAGGTGGAAGATGGTAGACAGAAAAATAAAATCTACTGACAATGCTCAAATGCCCACACATCTCTGGGCAGGATCAAATAGGGACACAAAGGTGAGGTGACTGACAATCCTCACCCTCAGTAGGCTCCCACCCAAGCAAGCATGAGATGAGCACATGGGAGATTACAAAACGAGGCAAGGAGTGGTCATGTAAGAGGAACCAGGCTACGGGGCACACAGGGAGGCAAGATTGCTCCCAGAGGAGCCTTTTAAGGCTTCCAGAGGTGGCATCTGGGTTGAGGCTGGCAGTTTGAGCTGGATTTTGATGGGCTGAGATGTGGAGTGGGGACTTCGGGGCTGAAGGAATGGCAGAAAATGCTGGAGGCAGAGTCCAAGATGAGAGGAAGTGTGAGTTCAAGGGAGTGAGGACAAAGGTGGAACCACAGCCGTGAGGGCCTGCTTCACTTACAGGAGCAGCGTCTGTGGCCCAGGAGGTGACGGCCAGCTCCCGTGGGGCTCTGAGGCTCACGTACCCACCCCCGGACCAGCTCCCATTTCTTCCTGGGGCAGGGGGCAGTCAGATAGCTCCTTGCCCCTCCTCAACCCTACCCCTTCTCTGCCCAGCTCTTTGGGTGGCTGCTCATTGGTGTGGTAGCCATCCTGGTGTTCCTGACCAAGTGCCTCAAGCATTACTGCTCACCACTCAGCTACCGCCAGGAGGCCTACTGGGCGCAGTACCGCACCAACGAGGACCAGCTCTTCCAGCGCACGGCCGAGGTGCATTCACGGGTGCTGGCTGCCAACAACGTGCGCCGCTTCTTTGGCTTTGTGGTGCTCAGCAAGGATGATGAGGAGCTGGCTGCCAAGTTCCAAGTAGAAGGCACACAGCCGAGACCACAGTGGAACGCCATCACTGGCGTCTATTTGTACCGCGAGAACCAGGGCCTTCCACTCTATAGCCGCCTGCACAAGTGGGCCCAGGGTCTGGCGGGCAACGGCATGGCCCCAGACAATGTGGAGATGGCCCTGCTCACCTCCTAAGGGTCCTGTTCCCACACTCTTTGCTAATGACAGTCCTTGGTCCCAAACTGAACCCCTCTTCCTACTTGTATCTGCATCAGAAGGGGATTTTTTCTTTTACCCATAGCTTTTTAGGGAAACAGGTCAAGAGTAAGGAACAGAAAGTAACCTGGGATGTGGAAGAGAAAGCTGGTAGACATGTGGTCAGCTCTGACTGGAAAGTTCTCAGACCTGAAGAAACCCCTCCACTGTTGACACCAGCCACTTGGTCAACAGCTTTAGAGAAAAGACCCTTTCCCAGAACTGGTCCTTAATTAACTGTAATATGAATGACCTTTTACTAGTGGGAATCCAAGGCTGGGAAGCCCTGGCCAGTAGAGCCAGATGACAAGAAAACCCATTAGTATAGGATATTGTGCAGTTAATTTGTGTGTGAACTGCATGTGGACACCTCACTTGGCAGTGCTCAGCTGGGAAGCTGCCCTCCAATATATGTTTCTAACTTTATTTTATGTACTTACATTTTTTATAAAGATTTTACTAATATAAAAGACTAGCTTGGTGTCTGCATGATTACTGGGCCCTGTCAGCAGGCTAGTGGTCATGTGGACAGGCCCAAATCCCATCCCCTGTGAGAGGAAGGGGACAAAGACACTCTTGGCAAGATTAAAATGGATGAAAGGGCAGGCAGCGGGGCAGGGAGGCCCAGGTGTTCACACACGGGAAGACTCTGGGGGCTGATGATCTCTTGGCAATTAGACTCAGTTATCTGATTTGATCTTGGGAACAGACGGAGCCTGGGCTTTTTCAGAGGGACGCTCAGTTTAAATTTCACAGGTCGGAAAATCTTGCAGTGAGCAAGGCAGGCTGGCTTTTACAACCTAGAACCAGGCTAGGCCCAGCTCTGCCTCCCTGCCCATCTGCCTGCCCTTGCCTGATAACCTCCACCACCTCTAAAGCCTGTGATGCTCTCCCTTGTCCCCGTCCTGCTTCCTGGCATACCACTCAGTCATTTCCCACCAAAAGGACGCCAGCTCGCAGGATATTTATAGCTCTGCCAAAGAAAACTCTTAATTCCCTCAAGCCCAAGCCAAAAAGGAACAGGCTTCAACAACTAGCCGGGTCTGTGCTGGCCTCCAAAAACTCATCTCTCCCCAGAGCTACAAGGAGACACAGAGAGGCCGCGTGGCTCTCCCCAAAGCAGGTTCTCACAGATGCTCCTCCCTGCCGGGCCCTGGTCAGCACACAACATATGCGCTTGCACTTGATCTATGGCAAGCCTTCAGGAAGGACTTTCTAACCCCATTTCACCAATGAGTCATCCCATTCAGAGAGGCTGGGTGTCTGACTGGGAGGAGACCCCACCAGGTGATTTAAGCCATTATCTGCAGCTTTCCTCTCAGGCACTCAGCTCCCCCGATTTTCCTTCCTGGGCTCTACCTCTGTCCTCCTGTCCTCCACAAAAAGGCACAAGCTACCAGCTGAGCTGAAGATGAGGGAACGCTCAGACTCTGACAGCTAGGGAAAGGGACCACTCCCTGGACCCTATGGACCCTTTCTGTGACCAAGAGCCTGCCAGAGCCAAGAGGGACCCCTGACCATTAAGAGGCAGCTCTTCCATTCCTGCTTCCCAAGGAACTCCCATCAAGGAAAGACCCTCAGCTTCCTGGGGAGTCCAACAGCCTGCAAGCACTGAGCAGCCTCAGAAAAGGAAAAAACTGAAATAAATTGGTACTAACATAAGCACAAAGGAATTATAAATCTCAAACTCTTTCTTATCATGACAGGATTTCCCCAAGGGAGCTGCAGAAAAAGCAGCACTTAAAAAAGTCCTCAGGCACCGGGCAGTTGCTGAGGCCCCACAGGCTGGCCCACTAAGCGCGGCTATCAGAGCCAGCCCACCACTAGTCTTCCAACACAGAGCCCTTAGCTTCCACGTATTCCAGGGCCTTCTTCTTTACGGCTTGCACGTCCTTCTCGGTGCCGTGCTGCTTCTCATAGTCCAGGTAGCGCTTGAAGAAGAATTTCATTCGCTTGGGGGCCAGGCTCAGGTGAATGACCCGCTCGAAGACGTCCCTGTGAGGAAAAACAGGGTGGCACTGCCCCGGCCATGGGATTTCCGGCTAGCCTCACCCACTGCTCGCAGGCCCTGGAGCTAGGGTCCTGTGATCTGGCAAGCCCACGGCTTATCTCTATTAGCATTTTAAGCTTCCACCAGTGGCCCTGGGGAAAGAGGGACCGACCACCTTTCTAGATGAGCAGACACCCAGAGATGTTAAAAGGCTTACTGGCCCAAAGTCATACAGGCAATCAGGACCAAGCTGCTCAGGGGGGACACGCACAGAGGTCCGAGGTCTAGATCTGTGAGGAAACCTTGAGTGTGGCACTAGTTCTTTCTGGACCTCAGTCTACCCATCGCTGATCCTCCCCTGCCTTGTGGGGAACATTCTCTATGATTAGAGCCAGGCACAGTGTTAATTATGAGGAAAACCTAAGTTTCCTCAGGCCCAGGCCAGGGCTACCCTTCCTCCCACCCAAGGTTCCAGACAGACCTGAGGCTGGCCTCTGAGGCAGAAAAATAAAGTGAAAAAGTGAATGTCACAAGCCCTGGCACATCATGTCAAAGCTGTTTTTCCAGAGTAGGAGAACTTGGGATGCTGGGAGCTGCTGGCAGCCTAAAACTCCTCTACTTGGCCAATGCCCCTGACCTCCCACAGGGAAATTCAGCTGCAGTCTCCTTCCCCTCTCACCGGGCTTCCTTCTGGCTGCCATGCTTGATGGTCATGTCGATGTAGACCGACCAGACATCTGTGCGATTTGGGTAGATGCTCAGAGTGGTCTCGAAAATGGCTTTGGCTCGTTCCGCATCCCCCAGCTGGAACTCAAGCTGGGCAAACTTGGAGATCACATCCATGTCTGCAGGGAGAAGGCAGCTCACACACAGAAAGCAGACAGACTCCCCCCCGCCCCCCAACCCCAATCCAGTGTGCTACAGTGACAGAGTGACTCCTGGTTCCCCGCCCTTGGGCTCCAAGACCTAGGTGATAACAAGAGGGAAGCAGTGGTGGGTTTAGGGTCAAGTACACAGAGGGACACTGATCTGTGACTCCCACAGCAGCATCCTACTCTCTAGGACCAGAAAGGGGGTGGGATGCCCAGGGGAAACAGAATTAGTGTTTTTTGGTTCCTTTGTCTTTGGAGTTTAACCTTTGAAATGCAAAATGAATTAAGTTCATGAACACAATCAGTAGAGAGCTGGCGATTACCCTCCACAGGCTTTTCTAATACCACCCTCAGATGAAAAGACATTTCCCCACCCTACGCCCAGGTGTCAGAGAGCCTGATGTGTTTGGGAACTGGGTTGGTAGGTGGGAAGGAGCCCTCACGCTCTTTATTAGGCAGGCATTCTAGGGCTCGCTGCATCACACGGTGACTGGCCCCAGCCTGGCCCCTCCGCAAAAGAAAGGCGCCGTATTTTATCCAGACAGCTTTCTCCTGCCTGAAACGCTTCAGCATCCGGTTGTAGAGTTCACCAGCTTCCTGTGGGAAAGACAAGGCACGCTATGGACAGGGTGAACAACAGACGGGCAGCTGCGCGAGAACCCAGATGGGTTCAGACTCAGTCATTACAGGACGCCCAGCTCTAGATACCTGAGGGGAGTGGCGGGGCTCAGAGAGGAGAGCACAAGCGGAGGCCTAACGTTACTAATCCTATGCCCATAAGGAGGTCCTGAGACTAGGAGGCAGAATGAGGTATGACAGGGGGCAACTGGAGACACACAAAAGGGGCTGGGTGTCACCTTCTGTCTACAATGCCCATCAGCATCCCCAGGAATATACAGGGCCCGCTGTCCTGTCACTTCCCTCATCTTCACCCCACATTCCTAAAGCAGAGGCCAGGGTAATGACTTCTCGCACTTGGAAGATGAGCAAGTTAGGGTTCAGATGTCACACTGCAAGCCCAGGGCAAGACTGGACCCAGAATGCAGGGTTCCTCCCTGCTGCCTCTGTGACTCCCAAGAGTTAGTTTCTATACAGCTGAGGACCCCATGGTAGTGGGCCAGCTGGCCCAGACTCCTACCTGGAATTTCTCTGACTTGGTGTAGATGTCAGCAAGATGGAGAAAGACCTTGAGAGGCTCATTGTACTGCACAGCCCGCTCAAAGACCTTGGCTAGTGACTCCTGACAGCCATACATGTTTTCTAGGTTTAGCAGTGCCACCCACACGTTGAGCTTCTCCTGCTCCTCTCTGCAGAGAGAGCAGTCAGCACATGAGCTCCATCATCTCAGCCCAAGCCCCCAACCACCACCCAGGGATGCTGACAGGAACTATTCTCCCTCCCCAAGACCCATCTATGTCCTCAATTCCCACCTCCAAGTGCAGATACTGAGAGGCCCTGTCCCCACTGCAGTTCACAGAGAAGCAGGAACCCTGACCCCTGAGTGCCAGGCAGAGGGCTCCCTTGGTTTCTGCCTCCCCTCCCTAAGGAAGCCCACCAAATCTACCCAGGTATGTGGACAGTTATTTTCCCTATTTTACTTCTGCTCCATGTGGGGCACCTAATTATAGGGACTCTTATAAATGTTACCCTTAGCTGTTTCAGTGAACACAACTTTATAAAATATACATGAGCAGACCTATTTCACAGGTGGCACATCTATGAGAGAACGCCTGGCATGAGAACCCATGAGCCGAAGTGCTGCCAGCCTGCTGAGAGGAAGAGACCCGCAGGCAGCAAACCCTGTGACCCAGAGACCTGGGCCTCCCTGCTAACCAGGTGGGCAAAGCTGAGACCTGAAGGAAATGGTCTTGAGAGCCCTCTCGGCCACAGCCCGGGCCTTCTCGATCTCTGTGGCCTGCAGGTGGAAGGCCATGTATTGCAGCCACAGGATGGAGCTGTTGGGGGAGCTCAGCACGAGTCGGTCAAAATCATCTGCTGACTCTGGCTGTCGATGGGGATCCATCAGTGCCTCCTCAATGCGGGAGAGCTCTTTCTCTGCCTTCTGCTTCTCCAACTCCCTTTCCTTCTTGCTTTTCTTCTTCTACTCAGGAAGGCAGAGAAATAAGTGAGAAATCTGCTCCTCAGTCCCTGGGGAGGTCTGGTGGAAGCCACAAGTTGGCAGGGCAGTCCACAGGCTCTATAAATACTCCTTGGCCTGAGACTGTCCCCCCCCCCCCCCCCCCCACAAGGGCTAGGGCTGACACCTGGCACAGGAGAGTGGCACCAAGGGGTCCCTGCAAAAAGGACAAAATGCTGCAAAATACGGCACCGTGGACTGCTGTGGCTTCTCGTCCTCCTCGCTGTCTGAGCTCTCTCCTCGAGGTGGCAGGGCTGGGGTCAGGGAGTCTAGCCCCACATCCCAAAAGAAGCCAGAAGACAGCTGCAGCCGGGGCACTTCTGCTGGCCTGGTCCGCTTCTCCTGGAGGATTACAGGAAAGCACTTGGCTCTGGTTTCCCTATCCCACCTGGAGAAGTAACTCCAACCATGCCCAGAGACCTTTCCTCTCCTCCCAGGGCCAGGCTAGACCCCACTAGGCCCCAGGCCACTGGAGAAACTGTACAGTGGTGACATATAAGCTTTCTTTGCAAGTAAATTCATTTAGCTAATACACATACATGTATAAAATAATAGCAGAGCTAGAACAGAGAGATATGACGAGGGTTCTAAGGATGGCGGGGGTGTCCGCGAATGCCTTCCATACCCTGTCCTCAGTTCAAGCAGTGCTGCCTCATTTTCAGAGGGGATGCAGGCTCAGGAAGGCTGAGCCTCCTCTTCATCTGCTCAGCCCACTAGTTTAATTTAGCTCCACCCATAACCATTGAGGAGAATTTATTTTATGCAGCCCACTCTACGGGTAAAGCAGGGTCCCTGTCCCCAGGGAGCTGACGATCCACTGAGGAAACTAGCAGCCCTACCTTGTCAGTTTACAGGAAAGCAGAGAGAAGAGGGTGGCGCCGAAGACAGCCTAGCCCTCAGGCAGGAGACCGAGGCCTTCCCCCGCCAGCAGCCTCTTCTCCCACCTTTGATGCTGCCCCTCACCTTGGACGGCACACTCATCTCTTCTATCTCCTCTTCTCCTTCCCGATAATACACTTCAACACCACTGTCATCCTCCTCTGATGGGGCAGCTTTCTTTTTCTTCTTGTTCACTCTTTCCTGACCAACAGGTGGGAAAAATGCCACACCACCCTTCACGCTGAGGCGCCGTCGGCAGGACCAGGGCAAGGCCCTCTCTCTGCCCCTCCCAGCACCACCCAGGGCCCAGCCTCCACACCCATGCTGCTCTCAGTCCAAGAGAAGGTGAGAAGGTGAGGAGCTGCCCGGCTGGGTTTTGAAACACTTTCCTTTTCACATGAGGGGAGGCCATCATCCCTGTGACCTACCTGTTCGCTTCCAGACTCCAGGCGCGGCCGCTTGCCCTGCTTCTTTGGGTGTAGTTTCTGGGGCTTAGGCATCTCCTTGCTGGGCAGCTGTGTCTCTTCCTGCCCCTTCTGGCTCCTCTTCTCTTTCCTTTTCTGGTTCTTCTTCTCCTTCTCCTCTGCTTCTTGGTGGTCTCTCTCCTCTGCCTCTGTTTTCCTCTCCTCTTGCTTTAGAAGCGGCAGCCCTAGGGAGGCAGGAAACACATCCGGCTTCCCAGTGTCACAAGAGAGGAATGACAGATTGACCAGCTTCTTCCGGTGGTTCAGGCTACAACAGGGAGAGAGGGAGGGTGAACAATGAGGACAACAGAACATACTGGGAACAACAAGCAGACCAGGCCTTCCTCTCCTGATCAGCCCAGTTTTCTGGGCTTTGCCGCACCTGCCTTGGAATCCACTAGGTATTCTTAGCAATGATACGCACATTTTACCGTGCTGAGTAGTAAAATACAGGAGGCAGCTGAGATCTCTCCCTCCTCCATCCCCCAAAACAGGTGCCTATGAAGAGAAAAGTCTCCACATCTGCTTTTAGGAACAAAGGTTGGGAGACTCAAGGAAGAAGGCTCCAAACAAAGGGGCTTTGTTCATCTGAACACTGCTCCCACCACTACCAACCCTGTTATGTTACAAGTTTATCATACCTCCTCCTAAGCAACCCAAAGAAAGAGGTGGGGGTGTGGCAGTGGGTGGGAGAAGGCACCTACCTTAGGACCTTGGCTGTGAGCAGCTTCCCTTCAGGGAGATATCTGTTATAAAGGGCTTTCTTGGACGGGCTGTACTGGGAGACATGCGGGTATTGGACCAAACCCACCACTGAGGGACCAAGGCTGAGAGGAGAGAGAGAGAGACAAAGGTCCTGTGGTCATGAAAACAACAGAGTCCCACCCAAGCCTAGGCCTCTACTTTCCCAGGGACCCAAGTTGTGATGAGGATTTATGATAGATATTAGATATAAGTTCCTAGCATTCAAAAGGATAAAGAGGACCTTGTAAACTGGGAAGAATTATTCAGTATAATGAAGATGAAGGTATTTTCCTCTCCACAACAGAGCACCACAATGTATAAATCACAAACTTGCTACGACAATACAAAAATGTGGAGACATAATAACAGCGAAGGCAAGGCTGCAGCACCTGGTGATGGTGAACACTATGGTTTCACAGAGCATTTAGAAACCATGATCAAACACTAAATCAAAGAAAATCCAAATGTGTTTAAACCTAAATTGGACCTGCTACATTCTTTGTCCAAAACACCAAATAAGAATAATTTAAAACTTTTTTAAAGTATAAAACATACTGGAATTAAAAAACCCAGGGAGAACTCACTGACTTTCCTTCATTCATATTTCCTTCAGAGAAGCTGACTGAGGGATGCGGCCGACCGCAGACCAGGACAGGCCCAAGGAGGGCACCCGAGTTTGACCCACAGTCCCCAGGGTCCATCTCACTCACCTGAAAAGAACACCATGTGTCTGGACCGATGTCACATAGCCTCTCAGGAGCTGCCCTTCCTGAATGTCCTGGACAGAGTTAATCTCGGGATCTGTAATTTTGCTTTTTGTCTTTGGGTTTGTCCTAAAGAAATAAAAGGCTTATGTACATATACCTCTAAACCCCTTTCCCTACTCTCGCCCCCAACTCACCTGCGATTATCAAACTTTGTTAAGAGTACCACTCTGGACCCATCAGTAGGCTACAACCTACAGAGCCCAGCCCCACCCTCTCCTGAGGTCCGGTCAGCTGGGGACATGTGTCTGTGAGTTGGCTATGCAGAAGTAGGGAGAGGCTAACCAAGTTGGGGGAGGTCAAACCCAAAGTCCTGGCCTTAAAGACATCCATTTCTAACCATGGAGCAAGCTGACCTCAGGCCAGTCCACTTCATCACATCCCTACTATGGAACCCTGGGAGCTAAATCATCTCCCTTCACCAGAATCACCATCTGGTAATCTTGACCACATTTGGATGTTTGAACCTTTCCAAAGGAAACAAGAGCCTGAGCAGACAGTTCTGGCAATCAGTATGTCCTCAGCTTTTCTAGATAAAAAAATGGGGCAGGGTATAAAGTGAACAAGCAGACGGAAACGGTAGGAAGCCCTAAGTTCTATGTCTCTCCCAAAGATCCATGTAGCCTCTCCTTAGTCCTCTGAGAGGGTTCTCCCCTCTTCTTGTCCCAACAAAACAGACACCCACCTGGATGACCGCAGCGACAGAGCCAGTGCATGGCCTGCAGTGGACAGAACATAACACCTGGAAAGAGAGCAAAAGACAAGGAAATTATGCTTTTTCAGCTTCTTCTCCACAGGGCTGACCTGACCAGCAGGACAGAGCAAGGAGACATGAGGCCTGGGCTCTCTTCTCCATTCTGCAGAAATCCTGCTGAGAGACTCTGGACAAGTAACCTCTCTGGGCCTCAGTTTACTAGTCTGTCAAGTAAAATTAACACTATTTATTCTTCTTACCCAAGAAAGGTGCTTGGAGAAGAAAATAGGAGGAGACAGGGAAGCCCTCTGGAAGACACAGAGAAAGAGCCATGGGGTGGGAGGGGCTGACTTGGGAGATGAGACCAGCCCTGTGTCGGGTCCCAGGAATGTGTGATGTCAGGGAACAAACCACAGGAAACGGTGACCAAGTGATGACCTAAGTGCTCCTGCAGACTCACAGCAGCTGTTCAGAGGCAGCAGATCAGTGAGGCCTGAGCAGGGGAGGCTTTTAGAAGGGAAAGCAGGGTTGACTCTTTGGTTAAGTTTCCAAACTTATGTCATCTGAAACAGCACTTAGTAGCCTGAAGTTATAGCTTCAAAGTAGAGAATCTAAGCAGTAGAAAGGATCACAGCAATAGTCCAAATTTTTCCCAGGACAGGTGTTTGCCTTTTATAACCCAGCATCATAGCCCTTAAAATAAGGAAGGACCCGGAGGGATTGTCTACTTTTAGACAATGAATGCTACTCACAGGTTTGGCTATAATAAAATGTATTTTAAAAAGATGCTTTCCTAAAAATCACACCTACATTTTGTAAGCCTCAAGAGACAAAGCAGAGATAAACCTGGATTTCTCTCTGAGTCAGTCCTTTTCTTCTCCCAGGCCCTGGATATTTTTGTGCTATTTAGTCTGGTAAGTGGTTGAGAACTGAGACAGGTGCTGGTGGCTGGGACATTTGAGGCAAGAAAGTACATTTACCACCTTCCAGTGTCTGCCTCCTGAAAGTGTCTGCTCCATGGCTCGCTAACTCTGATTCTCAGAAGTCTGTATTGTACCAAGCTGAAGTCTGCGTCTTCAATGCTTGTTTACTCAGGATATAAAATGGTTTTAAAACTCTGATGGTAGGCTCATTTGTGTGCATCTGAAATAATTCATAAATAAAGCAATCCCCCAGCTGCAAAAGGTTACTATCATTTTCATAGAAAATACCTACAAATCAGGGGTTTTTTTTTAATTTAAAAAAGAAAAAAGACTGCTTCAGTATAAAAATGAGCAAGCAACTTGGATAAGCACAGAACAAATTGTAAATAGTCAAGAAAGGAAATAATGACCCCTAGAGAAATGTAAATTAAAATGCAATTTTTGCCTATTCAATGGCTGACTAAAAAAAATCAGCATCCAGGGTCAGTAGGGGTGTGAGAAATGCAGTCATCTTTATTGTTAATGGGAATATAAATCAGCACAGTCCTTTTAAACAGCACTTTGGCAAGAATGTGCAACATTGTTTGATCTATCAATTTTAATGCTAGAAATTCATTTCACAGATAGACTTGTACTAGCATCCACACATATGTGCAAAGATACCCACTTCAACATTATCCATAAACAGAGAATTGTTTAAATAAATTATGAAGAAAAACAACCACAATGGAATACAAAAAAGGTATTAAAAACAAGGTAAAAGAACAAGGCAGATTTATATATATTAGCATAGAAAAAGCCTATGATAAACTGCTGTGAGAAAAAAGGAAGTTGCAGAACAGTATATAAAATAAAATTCTATACAGATTATGCCTATATATGTGTGCAAGTCTTCAAAGATAGAGACCAAAATATATTAATACAAAAAGCGCTAGAGAAAGAGAGAAGCAATAGACATTTTCATTTACTATTTTATACTAGGTGTTTTTTTTTGGGTGTAAAATCATGTACTAGTTTAAAAAAAAATCTACCAATCCCACAGATGGCTAGAAAGGAAAAAACCTTGGCTTACCTGACCACCTTCTGGGGGGTGAAGTCTTCCAGGGGTGTCTCCGAGTAAGAGTCACTCACGTGAAATATACTGACTCTTCCTATCTTCCCAAATGGGAAGGAGACAGTCAGCCCCTTCTTGGGAGTCACCTTCACCACTCGGCCCATGGCTACTTCCCCTTTCTCCAGCTTGTGAGGACCTGGTAAAAGAATGACCCTGATTTGGCAGAGGAAATGATCGAAGAACCTGGAATGCTGGCCAACCACAGGCTGGAGAAGGTAGAGGCTGCCCAACTCGGGATGTCTAGGCTGAGTGGGCCAGATGACGACAAAGACCCAGATTATCACACCATGCAGTCAAGAATCCCAGGGCTATGTGATGGACTACCCTTTCTAAGACACGTGGGAAAGCCAACTATTCATGGAAAGGTGACTTAGACAGAGTGACACAGGCCAAACAAAGAATAAAGCCCCTAGAGAAAAACTGTTCCAAGAAGGCACCACCCACAGTAGGGTCCCTGAGGACTCCAATATAGAAGGCAGCCTTCAACCTGGGATGTAACCGAAGGCCCCTTCCTATTCTTTTCTACCCCACCCCTTCACCACACCTATGAGTGAGAGACACAAGAAGGCCTTGGAAGAATCTGGGCCAACCACAGTGGCCTTCAGGGCCTGGCCAATCTGGAACTTCTTATCTGGATGTTTCAGAACCTAGAAAACAAGAAAATTTCTCTGTTTCGAGAAACGTCTGTCATTTATCCAAAATCACAGCATTTAATCTCCACAGCAAGTTACCTCCCCAGCCAATCCCAGAATAAGCACAGTTCCTTGTACACACTGTGAGCACACACCAGATGCTGAGTCAAGCTTAGGGAGCCTGGGTTTCCTCTCCAGGGATCTCTAACATACTGACCTTGAAGCTAAGAGAAGTGAGCAACAAGGGAATTCTCCCTCGGATGTCTGGAGCAATCTCCACCTCAAGCCATTTCTTAACCACGTTGTACTGGGGGAGGAAAAAGACAGCAGAAATGGAATGGGGCAAAAATAAGCATCTCTTCTCTATATTAAAACACAGACTCTCCTAAAATCACAGGGCTGAAAGGGCCCTAATCCAAATTTTTCCAAGGGACAGTAATCTACCCCCTACATCCCACTGCCCCTGGCCCAGCCACCACTTCTCACAGGCTTCACTCTGAGTCCTGCTCAGAGACTTCTTAGCCTAGCAGAACATGTACACCTCCTGGTGCCTCAGCTGATTAAGAGGCAAAAATGAACTGAGAGACATCCTCAAGCAGTAGGACACGCCCCATTGACCTCTGTAGCCTCCTCCAAGCTCAGCTATGCCCAGTAATGGTTAATCATCTCCAGTGGCCAACATATGATTTCTAAATCAATTGGGACTTTGAGCCTTCATTGTTTACAGTGTCCTGTTCTAGAAAACACCCCAACTTTCAAGTCACTTCAACAAAACATTTATTATCAAGTAGCCACTATGCACACAGCACACAGAAATAAATAAAAGGCAGGTCCTGCCTCCAAGGAATTTACACTCTACAAAGAGTAAGTCAAACAAGTATGAAATAACTAAAGCAGTGGAAGTGCAATACACTACGGGAATATACAGGAGAACTAACACTAAGTGACCTATACATGAACATAAGGACAGATTATGAAGAGCCTTCAGCACCACTCTACAGCATCTGGAGTTTATGAACCCTACCTATAGACAACAGGGAACTGAAAGGATCAAGCATCTGTGACATGTTCAGATACACCTAGAAGACGAATCTGGAGCAGCAAAGAGGAGTTAGCCCTCAAGGTCAAGCCCATACCACCTTTCTCTCTGATACATTCCAACCAGTACAGTTCTCACTAATCTCTTCCCTTTTTTGAAGTTCTGATTCACTTGGGGTTAGAACACATAACCTGGCACTGAATTACATATTGTTTTGCACTGCACATGAGTTTCATGAAAAGGAATTTATTTTAGTACTACACTTATTTTAATCTTGCTCTATGTTTTTCTACTTTGTACAATTAACCTATAAACATGTTGAATTGTAACCTGCTTGCTCATTGTTTTATAAGCCACAATTTTAGCTCCTTAATTACACCAGGAGCCATATTTTATCTCCCACAGACTAGCATGGTGGTAAACACAGAATCAAATGCCTAGTTCTAATGGTTTTTGTCTCCAGCTTCTCCTTTTCTTCTGAAAGAAGGCTGGCATCACATGGTGACATGCACTACTTACCTTCTTCAAAAAGCAAGTCACAGTCTGGCCAGCCTGGTACTCTTTAATCTTCTCCAAGGGGCTGACAGACTGAGTGTTGAGAGCAGTGTGGCTCTCCTTTTCCAGCTCACTGTTTACAGAAAGGCAATGAAAAGAGTAAACCAACCTCTGGAGAAGGCTTCTCACTTGAAACCCTCTCCCGAGTGGCTCTAGACTAATTATACAGGATCCCCCTAATTCATACATACCTCCCACACCCCCCATTTCTCTCCTTGAAGGGGAATGTTCACAGTACCTGCATGAGAGAGCTCATCTTTTCCATTTTGCTCACCTTGATATGAACAAGCTCTAAGTAGGTAGCCTACTATAATTTTTACAAATTTAGGAAACAAAAGTGTTTTTCTTCTTTCATAATACTTTAGCTATTGCTTTACATTTTGCAGAACTGTTTTCACATTTCTGCTGGCCTGGTCCGCTTCTCCTGGAGGATTACAGGAAAGCACTTGGCTCTGGTTTCCCTATCCCACCTGGAGAAGTAACTCCAACCATGCCCAGAGACCTTTCCTCTCCTCCCAGGGCCAGGCTAGACCCCACTAGGCCCCAGGCCACTGGAGAAACTGTACAGTGGTGACATATAAGCTTTCTTTGCAAGTAAATTCATTTAGCTAATACACATACATGTATAAAATAATAGCAGAGCTAGAACAGAGAGATATGACGAGGGTTCTAAGGATGGCGGGGGTGTCCGCGAATGCCTTCCATACCCTGTCCTCAGTTCAAGCAGTGCTGCCTCATTTTCAGAGGGGATGCAGGCTCAGGAAGGCTGAGCCTCCTCTTCATCTGCTCAGCCCACTAGTTTAATTTAGCTCCACCCATAACCATTGAGGAGAATTTATTTTATGCAGCCCACTCTACGGGTAAAGCAGGGTCCCTGTCCCCAGGGAGCTGACGATCCACTGAGGAAACTAGCAGCCCTACCTTGTCAGTTTACAGGAAAGCAGAGAGAAGAGGGTGGCGCCGAAGACAGCCTAGCCCTCAGGCAGGAGACCGAGGCCTTCCCCCGCCAGCAGCCTCTTCTCCCACCTTTGATGCTGCCCCTCACCTTGGACGGCACACTCATCTCTTCTATCTCCTCTTCTCCTTCCCGATAATACACTTCAACACCACTGTCATCCTCCTCTGATGGGGCAGCTTTCTTTTTCTTCTTGTTCACTCTTTCCTGACCAACAGGTGGGAAAAATGCCACACCACCCTTCACGCTGAGGCGCCGTCGGCAGGACCAGGGCAAGGCCCTCTCTCTGCCCCTCCCAGCACCACCCAGGGCCCAGCCTCCACACCCATGCTGCTCTCAGTCCAAGAGAAGGTGAGAAGGTGAGGAGCTGCCCGGCTGGGTTTTGAAACACTTTCCTTTTCACATGAGGGGAGGCCATCATCCCTGTGACCTACCTGTTCGCTTCCAGACTCCAGGCGCGGCCGCTTGCCCTGCTTCTTTGGGTGTAGTTTCTGGGGCTTAGGCATCTCCTTGCTGGGCAGCTGTGTCTCTTCCTGCCCCTTCTGGCTCCTCTTCTCTTTCCTTTTCTGGTTCTTCTTCTCCTTCTCCTCTGCTTCTTGGTGGTCTCTCTCCTCTGCCTCTGTTTTCCTCTCCTCTTGCTTTAGAAGCGGCAGCCCTAGGGAGGCAGGAAACACATCCGGCTTCCCAGTGTCACAAGAGAGGAATGACAGATTGACCAGCTTCTTCCGGTGGTTCAGGCTACAACAGGGAGAGAGGGAGGGTGAACAATGAGGACAACAGAACATACTGGGAACAACAAGCAGACCAGGCCTTCCTCTCCTGATCAGCCCAGTTTTCTGGGCTTTGCCGCACCTGCCTTGGAATCCACTAGGTATTCTTAGCAATGATACGCACATTTTACCGTGCTGAGTAGTAAAATACAGGAGGCAGCTGAGATCTCTCCCTCCTCCATCCCCCAAAACAGGTGCCTATGAAGAGAAAAGTCTCCACATCTGCTTTTAGGAACAAAGGTTGGGAGACTCAAGGAAGAAGGCTCCAAACAAAGGGGCTTTGTTCATCTGAACACTGCTCCCACCACTACCAACCCTGTTATGTTACAAGTTTATCATACCTCCTCCTAAGCAACCCAAAGAAAGAGGTGGGGGTGTGGCAGTGGGTGGGAGAAGGCACCTACCTTAGGACCTTGGCTGTGAGCAGCTTCCCTTCAGGGAGATATCTGTTATAAAGGGCTTTCTTGGACGGGCTGTACTGGGAGACATGCGGGTATTGGACCAAACCCACCACTGAGGGACCAAGGCTGAGAGGAGAGAGAGAGAGACAAAGGTCCTGTGGTCATGAAAACAACAGAGTCCCACCCAAGCCTAGGCCTCTACTTTCCCAGGGACCCAAGTTGTGATGAGGATTTATGATAGATATTAGATATAAGTTCCTAGCATTCAAAAGGATAAAGAGGACCTTGTAAACTGGGAAGAATTATTCAGTATAATGAAGATGAAGGTATTTTCCTCTCCACAACAGAGCACCACAATGTATAAATCACAAACTTGCTACGACAATACAAAAATGTGGAGACATAATAACAGCGAAGGCAAGGCTGCAGCACCTGGTGATGGTGAACACTATGGTTTCACAGAGCATTTAGAAACCATGATCAAACACTAAATCAAAGAAAATCCAAATGTGTTTAAACCTAAATTGGACCTGCTACATTCTTTGTCCAAAACACCAAATAAGAATAATTTAAAACTTTTTTAAAGTATAAAACATACTGGAATTAAAAAACCCAGGGAGAACTCACTGACTTTCCTTCATTCATATTTCCTTCAGAGAAGCTGACTGAGGGATGCGGCCGACCGCAGACCAGGACAGGCCCAAGGAGGGCACCCGAGTTTGACCCACAGTCCCCAGGGTCCATCTCACTCACCTGAAAAGAACACCATGTGTCTGGACCGATGTCACATAGCCTCTCAGGAGCTGCCCTTCCTGAATGTCCTGGACAGAGTTAATCTCGGGATCTGTAATTTTGCTTTTTGTCTTTGGGTTTGTCCTAAAGAAATAAAAGGCTTATGTACATATACCTCTAAACCCCTTTCCCTACTCTCGCCCCCAACTCACCTGCGATTATCAAACTTTGTTAAGAGTACCACTCTGGACCCATCAGTAGGCTACAACCTACAGAGCCCAGCCCCACCCTCTCCTGAGGTCCGGTCAGCTGGGGACATGTGTCTGTGAGTTGGCTATGCAGAAGTAGGGAGAGGCTAACCAAGTTGGGGGAGGTCAAACCCAAAGTCCTGGCCTTAAAGACATCCATTTCTAACCATGGAGCAAGCTGACCTCAGGCCAGTCCACTTCATCACATCCCTACTATGGAACCCTGGGAGCTAAATCATCTCCCTTCACCAGAATCACCATCTGGTAATCTTGACCACATTTGGATGTTTGAACCTTTCCAAAGGAAACAAGAGCCTGAGCAGACAGTTCTGGCAATCAGTATGTCCTCAGCTTTTCTAGATAAAAAAATGGGGCAGGGTATAAAGTGAACAAGCAGACGGAAACGGTAGGAAGCCCTAAGTTCTATGTCTCTCCCAAAGATCCATGTAGCCTCTCCTTAGTCCTCTGAGAGGGTTCTCCCCTCTTCTTGTCCCAACAAAACAGACACCCACCTGGATGACCGCAGCGACAGAGCCAGTGCATGGCCTGCAGTGGACAGAACATAACACCTGGAAAGAGAGCAAAAGACAAGGAAATTATGCTTTTTCAGCTTCTTCTCCACAGGGCTGACCTGACCAGCAGGACAGAGCAAGGAGACATGAGGCCTGGGCTCTCTTCTCCATTCTGCAGAAATCCTGCTGAGAGACTCTGGACAAGTAACCTCTCTGGGCCTCAGTTTACTAGTCTGTCAAGTAAAATTAACACTATTTATTCTTCTTACCCAAGAAAGGTGCTTGGAGAAGAAAATAGGAGGAGACAGGGAAGCCCTCTGGAAGACACAGAGAAAGAGCCATGGGGTGGGAGGGGCTGACTTGGGAGATGAGACCAGCCCTGTGTCGGGTCCCAGGAATGTGTGATGTCAGGGAACAAACCACAGGAAACGGTGACCAAGTGATGACCTAAGTGCTCCTGCAGACTCACAGCAGCTGTTCAGAGGCAGCAGATCAGTGAGGCCTGAGCAGGGGAGGCTTTTAGAAGGGAAAGCAGGGTTGACTCTTTGGTTAAGTTTCCAAACTTATGTCATCTGAAACAGCACTTAGTAGCCTGAAGTTATAGCTTCAAAGTAGAGAATCTAAGCAGTAGAAAGGATCACAGCAATAGTCCAAATTTTTCCCAGGACAGGTGTTTGCCTTTTATAACCCAGCATCATAGCCCTTAAAATAAGGAAGGACCCGGAGGGATTGTCTACTTTTAGACAATGAATGCTACTCACAGGTTTGGCTATAATAAAATGTATTTTAAAAAGATGCTTTCCTAAAAATCACACCTACATTTTGTAAGCCTCAAGAGACAAAGCAGAGATAAACCTGGATTTCTCTCTGAGTCAGTCCTTTTCTTCTCCCAGGCCCTGGATATTTTTGTGCTATTTAGTCTGGTAAGTGGTTGAGAACTGAGACAGGTGCTGGTGGCTGGGACATTTGAGGCAAGAAAGTACATTTACCACCTTCCAGTGTCTGCCTCCTGAAAGTGTCTGCTCCATGGCTCGCTAACTCTGATTCTCAGAAGTCTGTATTGTACCAAGCTGAAGTCTGCGTCTTCAATGCTTGTTTACTCAGGATATAAAATGGTTTTAAAACTCTGATGGTAGGCTCATTTGTGTGCATCTGAAATAATTCATAAATAAAGCAATCCCCCAGCTGCAAAAGGTTACTATCATTTTCATAGAAAATACCTACAAATCAGGGGTTTTTTTTTAATTTAAAAAAGAAAAAAGACTGCTTCAGTATAAAAATGAGCAAGCAACTTGGATAAGCACAGAACAAATTGTAAATAGTCAAGAAAGGAAATAATGACCCCTAGAGAAATGTAAATTAAAATGCAATTTTTGCCTATTCAATGGCTGACTAAAAAAAATCAGCATCCAGGGTCAGTAGGGGTGTGAGAAATGCAGTCATCTTTATTGTTAATGGGAATATAAATCAGCACAGTCCTTTTAAACAGCACTTTGGCAAGAATGTGCAACATTGTTTGATCTATCAATTTTAATGCTAGAAATTCATTTCACAGATAGACTTGTACTAGCATCCACACATATGTGCAAAGATACCCACTTCAACATTATCCATAAACAGAGAATTGTTTAAATAAATTATGAAGAAAAACAACCACAATGGAATACAAAAAAGGTATTAAAAACAAGGTAAAAGAACAAGGCAGATTTATATATATTAGCATAGAAAAAGCCTATGATAAACTGCTGTGAGAAAAAAGGAAGTTGCAGAACAGTATATAAAATAAAATTCTATACAGATTATGCCTATATATGTGTGCAAGTCTTCAAAGATAGAGACCAAAATATATTAATACAAAAAGCGCTAGAGAAAGAGAGAAGCAATAGACATTTTCATTTACTATTTTATACTAGGTGTTTTTTTTTGGGTGTAAAATCATGTACTAGTTTAAAAAAAAATCTACCAATCCCACAGATGGCTAGAAAGGAAAAAACCTTGGCTTACCTGACCACCTTCTGGGGGGTGAAGTCTTCCAGGGGTGTCTCCGAGTAAGAGTCACTCACGTGAAATATACTGACTCTTCCTATCTTCCCAAATGGGAAGGAGACAGTCAGCCCCTTCTTGGGAGTCACCTTCACCACTCGGCCCATGGCTACTTCCCCTTTCTCCAGCTTGTGAGGACCTGGTAAAAGAATGACCCTGATTTGGCAGAGGAAATGATCGAAGAACCTGGAATGCTGGCCAACCACAGGCTGGAGAAGGTAGAGGCTGCCCAACTCGGGATGTCTAGGCTGAGTGGGCCAGATGACGACAAAGACCCAGATTATCACACCATGCAGTCAAGAATCCCAGGGCTATGTGATGGACTACCCTTTCTAAGACACGTGGGAAAGCCAACTATTCATGGAAAGGTGACTTAGACAGAGTGACACAGGCCAAACAAAGAATAAAGCCCCTAGAGAAAAACTGTTCCAAGAAGGCACCACCCACAGTAGGGTCCCTGAGGACTCCAATATAGAAGGCAGCCTTCAACCTGGGATGTAACCGAAGGCCCCTTCCTATTCTTTTCTACCCCACCCCTTCACCACACCTATGAGTGAGAGACACAAGAAGGCCTTGGAAGAATCTGGGCCAACCACAGTGGCCTTCAGGGCCTGGCCAATCTGGAACTTCTTATCTGGATGTTTCAGAACCTAGAAAACAAGAAAATTTCTCTGTTTCGAGAAACGTCTGTCATTTATCCAAAATCACAGCATTTAATCTCCACAGCAAGTTACCTCCCCAGCCAATCCCAGAATAAGCACAGTTCCTTGTACACACTGTGAGCACACACCAGATGCTGAGTCAAGCTTAGGGAGCCTGGGTTTCCTCTCCAGGGATCTCTAACATACTGACCTTGAAGCTAAGAGAAGTGAGCAACAAGGGAATTCTCCCTCGGATGTCTGGAGCAATCTCCACCTCAAGCCATTTCTTAACCACGTTGTACTGGGGGAGGAAAAAGACAGCAGAAATGGAATGGGGCAAAAATAAGCATCTCTTCTCTATATTAAAACACAGACTCTCCTAAAATCACAGGGCTGAAAGGGCCCTAGTCCAAATTTTTCCAAGGGACAGTAATCTACCCCCTACATCCCACTGCCCCTGGCCCAGCCACCACTTCTCACAGGCTTCACTCTGAGTCCTGCTCAGAGACTTCTTAGCCTAGCAGAACATGTACACCTCCTGGTGCCTCAGCTGATTAAGAGGCAAAAATGAACTGAGAGACATCCTCAAGCAGTAGGACACGCCCCATTGACCTCTGTAGCCTCCTCCAAGCTCAGCTATGCCCAGTAATGGTTAATCATCTCCAGTGGCCAACATATGATTTCTAAATCAATTGGGACTTTGAGCCTTCATTGTTTACAGTGTCCTGTTCTAGAAAACACCCCAACTTTCAAGTCACTTCAACAAAACATTTATTATCAAGTAGCCACTATGCACACAGCACACAGAAATAAATAAAAGGCAGGTCCTGCCTCCAAGGAATTTACACTCTACAAAGAGTAAGTCAAACAAGTATGAAATAACTAAAGCAGTGGAAGTGCAATACACTACGGGAATATACAGGAGAACTAACACTAAGTGACCTATACATGAACATAAGGACAGATTATGAAGAGCCTTCAGCACCACTCTACAGCATCTGGAGTTTATGAACCCTACCTATAGACAACAGGGAACTGAAAGGATCAAGCATCTGTGACATGTTCAGATACACCTAGAAGACGAATCTGGAGCAGCAAAGAGGAGTTAGCCCTCAAGGTCAAGCCCATACCACCTTTCTCTCTGATACATTCCAACCAGTACAGTTCTCACTAATCTCTTCCCTTTTTTGAAGTTCTGATTCACTTGGGGTTAGAACACATAACCTGGCACTGAATTACATATTGTTTTGCACTGCACATGAGTTTCATGAAAAGGAATTTATTTTAGTACTACACTTATTTTAATCTTGCTCTATGTTTTTCTACTTTGTACAATTAACCTATAAACATGTTGAATTGTAACCTGCTTGCTCATTGTTTTATAAGCCACAATTTTAGCTCCTTAATTACACCAGGAGCCATATTTTATCTCCCACAGACTAGCATGGTGGTAAACACAGAATCAAATGCCTAGTTCTAATGGTTTTTGTCTCCAGCTTCTCCTTTTCTTCTGAAAGAAGGCTGGCATCACATGGTGACATGCACTACTTACCTTCTTCAAAAAGCAAGTCACAGTCTGGCCAGCCTGGTACTCTTTAATCTTCTCCAAGGGGCTGACAGACTGAGTGTTGAGAGCAGTGTGGCTCTCCTTTTCCAGCTCACTGTTTACAGAAAGGCAATGAAAAGAGTAAACCAACCTCTGGAGAAGGCTTCTCACTTGAAACCCTCTCCCGAGTGGCTCTAGACTAATTATACAGGATCCCCCTAATTCATACATACCTCCCACACCCCCCATTTCTCTCCTTGAAGGGGAATGTTCACAGTACCTGCATGAGAGAGCTCATCTTTTCCATTTTGCTCACCTTGATATGAACAAGCTCTAAGTAGGTAGCCTACTATAATTTTTACAAATTTAGGAAACAAAAGTGTTTTTCTTCTTTCATAATACTTTAGCTATTGCTTTACATTTTGCAGAACTGTTTTCACAGTCTCTTGCTGAATGTGACAACCATCTCATAAGTGATTTAGGCAGCATAGATATTATTAAACTCATTTTATGCTACTGAACCAGAAGCTAGAGTCAGGGCTCTGATTCAAAAATGCAGAATTCTGTCCCCTATGCTACCTTGCCATTATTGCATTCTTGATTCTCTTTTCTTTCTCAGAAAAGCAACAAGGGATGCAGTTTGAAAGTTAACAGTCCACAGATCACTTAAAAGGAATCAGAGAACTCCCACCCTTCCAACCCAGCCCAGCTCTCCAATTAAAATCATTTCTAAAACAAAACAAAACAAAAAACAAAACATCAGTAAAATGGTACAAGTAATACTGGTAGAATTGTAACATATAATATAGCAAGTATTGATAAATATAGAAAAACAGTAACCTTCATATACTAGTAAAGGTGAAAATGCATATATCCTATGACACAGTAATTCCACCCTTGAGACATCCTTGCACAGATGAGCAATGGAACAAGTTCTAGGATATTCTTTGTGACATTAATTATAATAGAGAAAAATTGGAAACAATCTTAAATGTCCTTCATCAGTTTGAAAATATACATAGTTTGGCACATTCACAGGACGGATTAGAATTTTAACTAAAGGCACAAAAACAGATCTCAGAAACAAAATTTTGAGTGAAAAAAACAAGTGAAATATTACACACAGCACATCATTTAAGTAAAATTTGCAAACTACACAAAATAATTTTTATGGATGCATATTTATGTGTGTGTGTTTGTATATGTGTATGTGTCTATCTATGTGTATAATTAAGGTATGGAACATTTATTTATATACATTATCTATAATGCTCACATAATTAGGATGAAAAAATATATCCACTCTATAGCTGACACTGGAATGCCTGTTATGGAATGAACTGTGCCTTCTCCCACCAAATTCATAAGCTGAAGGACTAACTCTCAGTACCTCAGAACGTGACTGTATTTGGAAATAGGAAATTTAAATAGCTAAGTAACCTAAAACAAAGTCATCAGTGTGGCCTTAATACAATATGACTGTTACAAAGAGAGATTAGGCTAACTCAGTAACAAAAAAACAAATAACCCAATTTAAAAATAGGACTCGAAAAGATATTTCTCCAAAGATGTACAAATGGCCAACAAGCTAATCATCAGAGAAATACAAACCAAAACCACAGTGAGATACCACCTCACATCTGTAAGGATGGCCATTATAAACAACAACTAAAAAAACACACAACAGGCATTGGTAAGGTATGGAAAAAAGGAAACCCTTCTTCATAAACTATTGGTAGGACTGTAAGATGGTACAACTGCTATGGAAAACTGTGGAAGTTCCTCAAAATATTAAAAGTATAACTACCATATGATCCAGCACTGTCACTTCTGGGTACACATCCAGAAGAACTGAAAACAGGATCTCAAAGAGATACATGTTCACTGCAGTATTAGTCACAGAAGCCAAAATATGGAAGCAACCCAAATGTCCATGAATGGATAAAAAAAGGAAATGTATATGTATAGTGCTTCTCTAACAAGAATAACCACAAAAAAAGAAAGATGGTCACAGGTGAATAATTACTAAGAGAAACTAACTAACTAGCAGGAATTCAGAGCTGTATTTTAAGACTTGACCAGCTCTGCTCTCTTCACTCCTGCCCTTCCAAAAGAGTAACCTAGAAGGAAGCCTCTCATCCAGCTTGAGTGAACTCTACAATCCTAAACTCAGCTCCAGTACAGATGGCCTTCTTTTTGTGCACAAGATCCCCATATATAAGTGGGGAATAAAAATGACTACACTTCCTCAATAAATAAGCAACATCAATTAAATAAATGTTTTTCCTCCTGACTTCAATATATGCATTTTAAAACATAAGCATTAGAGAAATATGGCAATACCACCATTGTTATGTTCATATTATGCTTCTCAGGGGCTTTGATTAAAGAAAGTAACGACACAACACAGATGTACAGAGGAGATGGAAGGTATGCTGGAGTTTATCTGTCCATCTGTCTGTCATTATAACTCTCCATCCCCCACCTCCTCAATACATGCACTCCTTTCCTGGCATGGCTCATGCTGCTACAGCCAGGTACCACAACTCTGGCTCAGACCACAGGGTTCTGAGACAGGACAGTAGACCACGAACAGTAGTACCTGTTAATTAGAGGGTCTAACACTCTGAGGGTCAACAACCATTTCAGATCATAGTGGATCTACTCACAAAATTCAGACCCGTCCCTTTCAGTATTCACTAATTTAAGATATCTTCCCTTAGCTTGAATAAACTCACCCTTAATTAGACACGACATCACACCTCAAAGGTGAAGATACTGCAGACTATGATGACTAACAAGGTGAGGTCTCTCTGCTTTCACAACAAAGACTAATGGAGGACACAATAAAAATCTACAAAACTAAGGAAACCACAGAGTAAACAGATGGGAATGTATGCATCTGACGTTCATTCTGGAACGAAAGGGCTTACTTTGAAGATCCACATGTGTTGTTAGCATCTGGAACACAATGTCGCAGGAATATTTCCCTATTTCAAGCACAAGCCTTCTTCAAAATATTACACTTCTATTCTGACCCCTTCAGGACACTGACCACACTTTACTTTCCAAAAGTTATTTAAAAAGCCCTTCCATAGCACCCTCAGGTACTCAAGACTTACAACCTGGATGGATTCCAGGGCTGACTCTGTACAGCCAGTCTCAGTCATGTGTGCGTAGCTTCACTCACTTATGGCCTACCAGTTTTGAGAAGAAGCTAGATGTTTATGGAGGAAGCGGAAGCAGACAGGCCCACTTAAAATCCTCTGAAAAAACAATCTCAGACAAATTAGATTCGTCACTACATGTAACTACTAGTTCGCCTCCACCCAGAATCCTTCATGGAACATCCTTCTGTGGAAACTGCTAGAGGATGACCTCAAATTCCAGTCACCAAACTAGAAGCCTACACTCAAAGAACAAGAATTCTTGGCTACATGTTAGGTAATTACTTGGGGAACTACTGAGTTCTAGAAAATTGGGTTGGGAACAAAAATGTTTCTTTTTGTTACATACCCACCAACAACTGTAATTCCCCTTTACATTGATACTTAAACCCTGAATACAGTTTTTACATTCATTTTCATACAATCCCTCTAACTAGCCCTAGAGAGCGAGACAAATATCTCTACTAGAGAAAGACAACCTGCACAGAGAGAGGCAAAGTAAGTCACAACACTGGCTGAATCAAGAGGAGAACTGAGTCCTGACCCCAAAGCCCAGTGCTCTCTCCATGGGACCATGCTACTGGAGTTCCCCTCACCTCGGCCGAACACTCAGCTCCGGAATGGTTCGAATAAATCTAGGGTGACTTATTGGGAGAAACCTGGAGAAAAAAATAAGGTCAAATCATTTCTCTTATTCTCTGTGACCCATAATCTGGAGATCAGAACTTCTCTCTACTCCCCACCAAACCAAACTAAACAAACCACCTGCTCCACTGCCCTATCACCCATGGGTGATGGGTAGCCTGAGGGTTTCCACTCACTCTCATCCTCTGGAGTAGGTGGCAAAGAGCTGGCTCACCTGATCTTTTAGGATTGTGTATTAAACCCTTAAAATTATTTTTCTCACAGACTATATACTCCAACTCATTCATTTGAATAAGGAGGGGAGGTCTAGACAGAAGAAATGGCTTACTAAGATCCCAGAGTTACTGAAGTTAATATGCAAATTATTAACCAGACTTTGAATTCTTTTTTTGCTTTTCTTATTATGGCAAGGATTTCTGATACAGTAACATACTGCAACTAGATTTAAAGTAAATGACTATATTTAAAGCATGCAGTGGAGGATCAATTACAGTAACTGTGATGTATACTAGAGCAGTAATTATGGGTCAGAAAACCTACCTGCCAAGTCATATGACATACTAGATATTCTCTCAACCTTCACAATGGCCCTACTAGTTACTGCCATCACTCTCTCTATAAATTAGGAAAATAAAACTCAGAGAGTTAAGTAACTGCTCAACCTATGGCCACATAATTCTAAGTGACAAATCTGGAATTCAAACCCAGGTCTGACTCTAACCAATGCTCTTAACCACTATACTATAAGCCATTAGAAAAAAAAAAGATATACAAAGGGATTCTTTACTGAATGTTTTTGTTAACTAAATGAAAAGCTGACTTATGTGCAACTTTTTGGAACCTGCCTCAGTTCCCACTGCTTCTCCCACAATTACAATGATCTCCCCTTAAGGCCAGCCCACTCCCCCAAACCTCCATACTTGAATGTCTTCATGTCTCGCCCACCGATCACTCGGGCAGTGACTGTCTTCCCAACTTTCAGCTTGGCAGTAGGAGATGTGCCCACAGGAACATCATCTAGAATATGGGAGGCATGGATACAGCCAATGATGCCATCTTCCAGGGTCACAACGACATGGGTGGGCTTAATGGACTTGACAGTCCCTGTGACCGTGTCTCCAATGGACAGGTTGTGTTTCTTTACAGTCCCTACAGCCACAACTGGATCCACTTCCTCATCTTCATCAACTGTTTCAGAGTCCTTCTGGCTCATTCTCATGGTCCTCTTACCAGCTGGCCCCTCAACAGCCAAAAGAAGACCAGTCACTCCTGGTTCTGTGGTCTGGAGGGTTAGGAAGACACCCTGCCCCACCTGTAACTTCTCCGAGTCAAAGCGGAAGGTGTCATTAAGGTGAGAGGTCAGAGAAAAAGCCACCAGGTGGCCAGTCTCAACCAAGGAGGCGACGGCAAAGGACTCCTCCAAGTACTGCACAATAGCCTGGTGTTCACTGCCTTTCTTCAGCTGGAAAAGAAAAACCCATCATGTCCGCTTTTTATAGAGCACAAGTACTCACTCTCATTGCCCACTGGGCAGGGTGGGGGCTGGAGAAACCCTCTGAGTCCAGAGGACCCAAGGCTAGTCTGAGCTGTAACAAACAAGCCTTCACTCCCTCGTCCCAGCTTCTCCACTACACATGGAGATGACGTGATGTTCCTTGCTGGCAAATACCAGATGGAACAGGGTATTTGTGGGCAGGGCATGCACTCTGCAATCCATCAGAACCCTATAGCTACCACTCCTAACCTATCTGGCTCACTCCATCATTTACATTACCTGCCTGGCCCTAAAGACAGGGTGACCATATAACCTATCACATGAACCAGAATGAAAGTCAGTGCTATTATTATCACACCAGGATGAGGGGTATAAACTGGGAATGAACCGGACAAATGCAGGCATATGATCCCTGTCTACTGGCATTTGCATTATAACCCACCAGGGAAGTGAGGGGGTTGAGGGTGCACATAATGCCTTTAAGACCATGGGAATGGAAGTCATCAGCAAGCTTACCTTTTTAGCTTTTCTGTTCACCAGATCGTGGCAGAGGGAAACATGTACCTCCAACTTCAACATATCGACATTTAAGATTACAGCCTTCTTTTTCTGTCCAGATTGCACCTCCTGTCCTGCAGTGCAGAACCAAACATGGTGTGATCACCATCTGAGAGCATGAGGAAGGGAGACAGCACCCTTGCAAGCCATTAGGCACAAAAAGACAAGAGGACATGTGTCCTGGGTATATATGGGCTGGGGAAACCAAGGGCCTAGTCCCCATAATTCAAGTTCAAGTGTGCCTTGACTTATACAACCTGATACATAAAAATCTCCATTTAAACAGTTGTAATAAAATAATTAATACCTAAATCTTCTTAGTAGGCTCCCAGTTGTCTTGATTTACATTCACACAAGATAGGCATGCCAAAGACTTGTGTGAATCAACTCATCTACCCTATGTATTTGGAAATTCTCTATCCAGAAGAAACAATGGGGCAAAGGGTCACCCCCACCAACGATGATGGGCGAGACAGAAACACTCACCCGCATGATGGTATTTGCTGGCTCTCAGGACCAGGCCAGGCACTGGGCCCTCACTGAACACCACAGAGCCATCTTCCAACACCTCCTGCACCTGCAGGTCAAGGACCATCCCTGGGGTCATCTTAGCCAGCGTCTGGATCAACACAGAGTCTGCCAGAGATCCAAAGGAAACAAGGTTTAACAAGATGAAATAATACCATTCTTTTCCTTTGGAAATGCACTGCCACACAGGCAGCGGTGAGCTGCAACAACTGTGAAGAGCAAATCAAGTTTGCTAAAAATGCCTGATACCCATGAGATAGCTGGTATCCTAGAGGTAGAAAAATCTATGCCTCTTGCTAATCCACCTGGCTGTAATTCAAGAAAATAGCCAACAAAATACCAGAAATGCACACTTTTCTTTGTTTTATGAATTTTCATTCTTTATGTTGGGAACCTACTCTCTCAAGCTCTTAGGCCCAAATCCCATTAGGGTTCCAACAATCCTACATAATGGCTGAAAGCTTAGGAAGGTCAGAATACTAACCCCACATGAAGTGTCCTAGCAGGTCCCTGTTCCATTTTATTATACACTGTACGTTTGTTAAATAAAAGAACAAAAAAGAAGAGGTGACTGGTGCCACAATAAAAGCAAACCTGAAGCCCTAGAACTAAAGGAAATTTTGACTCTGGACTGGGTGGGAGCACAAGGGGGTACTTCCAGGATGTTGGTAATGATCTTTATCTGAATCTGGCTGGTAGTTAAAAAGGGGTGTCCATTTTACAAACATTTACTGAGCTGCACCCTAAATGACTAGGGCACTTTATGTTGGTCATATTCCCATTAAAAAAGTTTACCAATTTTTTTTAGTATCTGGGAAGCCTGACAACAGATAGGCATTAACTTACAACACACACTGCCCACCCCTGCCCCTCCTCCTCTGCCCCACCGCCCCCACCTCGGCTGTTCATGAGGCTGCGCACGCCCTGCCGCTCCTCCAGGCACTGGCTCAGGAGGAAGAGGCTGGTGGTGGCCAGGTCCCCCAGGGCGCAATCTGACAGCCGCAACGACAGCAGCATGCGCTGCTTCTCCTCGTCCACACTGGTCACCTTTGCAACCACTGTCTGCCCCTCGACAAAGTGGTCACTTGTGCAGGTCACAAACTTGTCACTAATGATCTAAAGGGAAGAGTGGGCAGAAAACAGAGGGAAAGAAGCCCCTGTTAAGACAGTCCTCTTAACACACCAGAAAGGGGTGTGGGAGAGAGGAGATGGGACACAGCAAGTTCCCCTCAGCCCTCCCTCACCATGGCTCTACTTCCCTTCCACAAAACAGGAGAGACTCTGGCTGCCCAGGAAGCACATCACTGGCAAGTCAGAAGGACACTGAGCCATCCATGTCCAACACCACATGGCAACACTCTACCCCTGACTATGCATGTTTCCAAGGCCCTCTCCTCTGTTCCCATTTTTAAAACTGTTCTGGCAGGAGAAGCAAATAAGACTTGTCCAGGCCAAACAAACCTATGGAATAAGTATTTATGAATTACGTGCAGCAGAAATGCACTAGGAGCCATTTTCTCACCACTGTCTTACGATTTTGGTCAAACTCTTCCCTGCTCTGGGTCTCAGTTTATACAGCAGGCATGAGGCGGGTTCAACTGTGGGATTGCTAGGATTCTTCCCAGTCTGAAAAGTTTATGATGCAATGAGCTGGGGGGTACTGGGGGCAGTGAGAGTAATTTCAAGGGTATTGTCAAGTGCTGTGGTATGAGGTAGAAAAGGTACCCCTTCCTCCAGGGGGACACAGCCCTGAGGCAGGACACATGGATGGGCAAAAGGTGCATGGACTGAATCCAAGCTCCACTCCTCCTCACCCAGCTGCCTTTTTATCTGGCCCCTAAAAATCTTCCAAGTGTCCTGCTCCTTCTCGCCCTTGGCTTCGATGACTGTTGCCTCTCCTCACACGTCCTCATGCATGGAGCTGAACTTACCGCTTTGGGGGCCAGTCCACTAAGACCTGAGGGGAACTGCACAAACACACCATAGTCCTTGATACTCTTCACAAAGCCAATGAGCAGCATTCCAGGATGGATTTCTGAGAAGCTCTTGGGATCCTGGCCACCCTCCACTGTGGAGACCAAAGCTGGCTTCCTGCAAAGGAACTGGAAGCACTTCATCAAGGAATGTTGCAGAAGGGTAGATGGAATGTCCACTTCCCCACCTTCTTTCTCCATTCCACACCCTCTACTAGTGATTCTCTAAGCGTACAGAACAGCAGCAGGAGTGTCACCTGCAACTTGTCAGAAACGCAAATCCTAGGACCATCTGAGACGTGCTAAGTCAGAAACTTGGGTGGGGCCCAGTGGGCTGTGCCTGAACGAGCCTTCCAGGTGATTCCGATGTGCACTGAAGTTTGAGAACCAATGTTTTACTCATTTCCTTATTAATTCACCTCCAGATACTGGGAGGGGACCAAAAAGGGAACAGCTCATCCCTGCGGTTTACTAGATGGATTGACAGGTGGATCAGCCATAACACGATCCTCTACAATTTTCATTCTAACCAACCCGATTTCATGTCTTCTGCCTATCTTCACCCAAAGGAGATTTTGTTCTGTGAGAAAAGCAGCAGTTTCCACCTTCACAGCATCCACACCAAGACCAAAAGGAATATTCTAAGCTCCATATCTCCAAGGACCGGGGCAGGGGGGAAGCAGCTACCATGTTAATCATTCCAACTCATGTACCTCAAGAAGGCTGGATGTGCTACTAGGAATATCCCACTGGGCTGGCAGGCCACACTACTCCCTCCCCAGTACCCTGCACTCCCACTCTGCCCTGACCACCTGCATCTGTTGGCAGGACTTCAATTCCACTCTTACTTTCCACCAGGGGAATAAATGGGAAGTGCATGCTTGTCACTGGTCTGGTTTTTGAAGTCAAGCATTTCTGAAGTCAAATAGCCAACTTTTTTCCATGGAGTTTCCAACTAAGAGCAGAGCGTGACTGTTTCCCCTGCAAGGGCCCATGGCTCTTCAGATACCAGTAAGGATACAACACGCCCCTCGCTCTGGCTCAGACACAGGACTCTGTGAAGGCTATCGCCAGCCTGGAGCCAGTGGTACAGCAGCGGGCCGTGGGCAACGTGGTCCGACAAGTGAGGCGTAGGGAGGAAAGCAGGGATGTTGTGGGGCAGCACGGCCACCGCCAGCCCATCTCGGGTCTTCTCTGAAACCTTCACATCCACCAACTTCCCAGGCAAGAGAAGGACAAAGAAGAGCACTGGTGTTGAGAAGAGAGCAACTTTGTCTGGGTCAGGTAGGGATGAGAGGCACAAATTCCAGCACCAGAGATCACTGAGGGGTCAAGATGAGAGGAGCAGCCTTCTTCCGCACCCCAGCCCACCTCCCCAGAGACCTGGAAGGCATGCCGCATGCGGACACAAGGACCGCTCCAGTGCTCACATTACTCCTCTCCCAGTTCCCCTGCTGGGTCTCAGGGGAAAGAGTCTCACAGGCTGGCCCTAGGGACCAGGGAGGAAGGCAGGCAGCATCACACTGCTGAAGAGCCACTCCCTGACAGAACTGTCCTTTCCCGGGGAGCCTGTGTTGGCTCTGATGCCCAGGGAAGAACACAAGGTCCTCTCTCAAGAGCCTCATTTCCCTCGATCCGGGGACTCTCATCTAGCTATCCCCAGCTTTCCCCTGCAGCACTACGTGTCAGGGGCTCCCTGCTCTCTGCCACCAGTAACACAACTTGTCTGGAGAAGTACAAGTACCTGCCCAACGTTAATGGCTCTTCTCTTCTTCTGACTGTGTCCCATAAGCTCTCTTTTTGGGTCACTCAACAGCTTGAAGGACAAGAGCATCCTCTCTTTGGAAGGCTCACAGTTCAGCACTGCAACCTTCACCACCTGGTAAGAAACCACACCAGCTTGGCCAACTGCTCCCTGCAGCCCTGGAGGGAACTGCCCTCCATGAGCCCTGCAGAGGCCTTGGGAGACCCACCAAAAACCAGGATCACATCAGAAGGTAGTAAAAAGAATGTACTGAAAGCTACACAGAACCCCACGAGTCAGCCTTCTGGGTCAAAGGAAGACATGAATACATTTTTTGGTACACCAAGTTTTTTAAAAATTATGTTTTTTCATTTGTTTCTCAACAGATACAGACTTCACTAGTTTTATAGCACTGACCCCTTGTGGTGACTGTGGCCTCAGAACAACTTCTGATAAAAATGAGGGACACCAGAGTATTCCAGGTAAAGACTAATTTCTCCAGGTTCGCCAGCGGGGATGTATGAGGTGCATGAGTTTGCCAGCTTCCACTGAACCCCCTTCAGGGCTTTTCTCAGTTCTGTTCCTCATCTCCACACGGCTGGCTCAGGCCCACTGTCCCACATGCTCTCTTCCTTACCCCTTAACAAGTAGCCCCCTATTACTCTTTCAAATCTGTGTTCATGGGCCACCAAGGGTAGAGCCTGTCCATAGAAAGGGTTACCTGGCCAGTGTAAAAGACCCTCTCCGGGTCAGGGACATACTCGGCACTGAGCTCATGCTTGGGCACCAGTCCCTGCACATCATTGTAGAACTTCACAATGCAGCCACAGTCCTTGACCCTGAAGATGAAGCCATGTGTCTGCAGACCAGGCTTGGCATCGGCATAGCAGGTAATGGCAGGTAGTTTGGACTCAACCAGTGTTTTCTTTAGGGTCATCATCAGCTTCTTGGCCTCAGGGTCACAAAGTAAAACCTAGGGGAGGATACTGGCCATCATCAAGAGAGCTATTGAACTGGTCTCTGCAACCCCCTGAACTCAAAGGCCTCGGTTGGTCCTTAAGAACCTATCTTTTTCCCTCTGAGAATAATCTCACCCACAGTTCCTCCCTGTTTCCTGCTGGATGACAATCCAAGAAGCCTTCATTGCTATTTCAGATGTATTTCCTCACATGCATTCCCTCCTAGACCTACAGCCATATTCATGGTCTTTGTGCACCTCCAGAGTCCTGTGTCAGCTCCTTCAACACAGCCTTAGCTCCCTCCCAGATCACTTGTATCTTGTCTAACAGAATGAATGACTCAAGCAATTTTCCACCTCAGTACTGTTGTGCATTAGCTATAAACTAAGACTGAGAAATCAACAATCTCTCTCTCTCATCCTTCAGGTTATCTCCTTGAGGGCCAAGAAATTCCTCTATTTCTAACCTCCTGACCCCACGTCTTATAATTTTGCATCAGTAGATAATCAATACTTAAGTTGACTCAACAATGAAATTAAATGAATCTAAGAAAATCTAACATTGTGCCTGCCACACCAGGCCTTACGCTAAGCACTGTGTATTACCACATTTAATCTTAATAACTCTTGTGAAGTTTCTCTTAGGGTTCAAGCCTTTGTTATAAACTGCTCAAGTTTTGGCAGTTTTGTTTGGGCTATTTCTGTGCCTGAAGCACCCCTGCTCCTCCCTCAACCTCCCAAATCCTATCCATCCTTTCTAGTTCAAATCCCACCTCTTACCAGGAATCTGTATTGTCATACAGAACTGAATTTGAAAACTGTTTTTACTACTTATTACTTGTGTGTATTTGGGCAAGATGCTTAGCTTTCCCAAGCTTTAATTTCCCCACCTGCAAAATGAGGCTCACAGTACTAACTTGGAGGGTTGTTAAAGATTGAAAGAATTAATGCATGTCACGTGCCTAACATAGCAACTGGCACAGGATACATGTTACACAGCAGTTGCTACTGATATCATTGATGGTTCTTGCTGCCCAGACCACCCTCCCCTCCCCTCTGAGATATGACATTAGCGTATAGCCTGTACCAACCCGTGCAGCAAAAGATCACATAGGTACTGTAACTCTCAAGAATACTACACAACTCTCAAGGGCAGGGACCCACTTTTCTCTTTCCAATGCCAGGCACAGTACTGTAGACATTACATGCTCATTTGTGGGAAAAGGCCTTCAGCTGAGAAACCACTGCTCTTCCCATCTAGCCCAAACCCCAACAGAAACCTTTCAGGAGCCTCACCCGGCACTGGACCTCATCCCCTATATGGTACTTCTTCTCTGGATTCTTCATCAGGATGTCAGCCAGGTGCACGGAAGGTACAAGGCCCCTGATCTGCTCAGCCACCTTCACCAGCATCCCATATGGCTTTATGGTCAGCACTGTGCTCTAAAGAGTCAAAAGAAAAGATGCCATGGTACCTCAAGATTCCTCCACTTCTTACAACAAAGTTTGTCACATCTCTCTTTCAAAGTCCAGCTTTCTGGGCTAACTGTGCCTATTATTCCAGATCTCGTATGGCTAAACACACCCCACATTGATCTGGATGCAGTCAGGTTTATTTATTTTGTGTGAGCATGTTCTTCCCATCTGCCTTGTAAGTACACTCTCTAAAAGAGAGGACTATGTCTCCTGAGAAGTGAACTCTATATATAAAAGGGATCTGCTAAATGGAGCTTATTAATTGGACAGGAGAAGCAACTGCAACTGACTTCTTACTAATATCCCAGGTACTCAGCAACTATAGAATTAACTTTTGACCTGGTCTAATAAACACCATCAAATCCCACAATTTATGATCTACTGCCTCTGTGTAGTTGGGTGGTAATACTAAGTCTTTATTTTGAAATTAAATACAAGTTATCCAAGGAAAGGAAAAGAAATTCCAGCCAAAAGGCTGAGGTAAGGAACATGACTTTAAAAGTGTTCACATGAGAACGAGCTGACAGCTAACAATGTGAACTGCTGAATGTCTGAAGGTGGGGGAGGATCCAATTATATGCTTGAGGTCTTACCTTTACCAATGCCCCAGGTTGGATATCATGGTATCTAAAGTACTGAGCTTCAATAATAGACCTAGAAAAGAAAATACAAGATTCAATAAACTATGTCAAAGGCTAACTAAAATGCAGAGCTACCAAAATCACATTGGCAAGAAGGCCACCCCCAGAAGCAAGGCCAGGAGAAAACTGCGGGTGTGCATTTGTATAGGCACACACCTCTCCACTCCCACACATTAAAACAGACTTACGCCCGCAGAGAGAGCAAAGCCAGTCCATCCATTTGGCTGTAGTCGATGATCCTACACTTGTGAGTGTTCCCTGGTTTAAAGGTCTCAGGATTGAAGGCATTCTTAGAATTGGAGAGATGGCTGAGCTACAAAGTACCAAGTGATTAAGGACAAGTCAGAAACAATAGATCTGAGGCAAGGAGACGTTAAAGCACACCAAGATGACTAAACATGTTTACCACCCACCATAAAAAGTCCTCTGAGCATGTGATGAAATCATTCCTCTAACTAAAAAATTGCTCTTTACTCTCACAGAATCTCTATAATGTCAGAGAAGAATAGCTTAGATCATGGGTCAGTAAACTACAGCTCACAAGTCAGTGCCTACTTTTGTAAATAAAAATTTTATTGGAACACAGCCATACCCTTTTATTTACATACTGTGTATGGTTTCTTTCAGGCTATAACAATAGAAATGAGTAGTTAGGGCAGAAATAGTATGGACCACAAGCCTTAAATATTTACTATCTGGCCCTTTAAATAAACTATTACCAAGCCCTGGTGCAGATCCTAACTCATTCTTTCACCTACCATCAACCAGGTATCAAATAAGGCAAATTAATTCCAAGGCGTTCTAATATAACAAACATTGTTCTACTCCCTCTGCATATAATCTACCACACTTAGGGATATTCAAAAATAGAAGACTAATACCAAGGGATGAAGGAAGCAGAAAAGGACCCATGTGTCCCAAAAGTCCTTCTAGTGATAAGATGCTGATGAAACCGAGAGCCTCCTTACCCGGGCATAGGCTAGAGTCCCGTCCTTCAGCCTGAAGATGGCCCCAGCCTTGCTGAAAAAGCTCTGAACAGGAACATCGTCCAGCACAGCTCCCAGGTGCTGGCTAGACAGCCGGGTGAGTGGGCGCCCAGGCTGCAGGAAGATGGGGTGTAGGCTCAGCCGCACGGCTCTGGTCCGAGGATGGACACAGAGGACACAGGCCCTTACCTAGATGGGGAAAGGGCATAATGAGCAGGAGGAGGTGCACAGGAGAGAAGGGACCCGGAATCAGACTTTCAGAGGTCAGACTGTGTATTGACAGGTCAGTTTACTATCAGCAGTAAAACAGCTTATGAAATCAAGCAGCACATGGAATATTCAAACAAAATGTACCAGAGGAACTATGTCCAAGAAAATAATGCTTATTCAAGGCCAGGAAACCATATACCAGGGTCCTCTCTACACCACAAGGCTAACAGTTCCTATGCAACAGAAGCCATTCATTAGCATTTCTGTACCAGAGGCTCATCTGAAACACACCAAAAAAGGCCTGCTCTGATCCTAGTTATAGCATATAATATGACACAAATATGACACAAATACTGTATCCAAATACAACGATGAGGAAAATTATCAAAAAAAAGGTCCACCAAAAAGTTAACAATATCATCACTAGGTGGTGAGAAAATCTATTTTTACTCTTAAAAGAAAAAAAGCCTCTATAACATCCAATAACGTGCATTACTATTTAAAAAAAAAAAGGAAGATATCATTTTAGGACTAAAACAATTTCTGAATAACATCTTGGGATTTTCTTCCCAAATACTGATGTTCTTTGTATAGAAAATTCAAAATCACTGAGTTAATCACTATCAACCCCTGGCTACATAAATGTCCAGTATTTTAACCAGGTGTACTCTATTTAAAACTCTTTTCCAAATTGGACCTATTCTATTCATAGTACTTTTTAAACTGCATTATTTCTATTTCAGCATGTATCTTGTTCTCTTATGTGACATACTCTTGGAAAACACTTTAAATTACAAAAACAAAAGATTCACTGTCAAAAAAAAGTCAAACTATATGAAAGAGTATGAAATAAAATCTGTAAGTTGCCTTCTTCTCCACAGGCTTCTTTTTAATCTCAGTTCACAGAAATAAGTACTGGTAGATTCTTGTGGTCCTTTCAAAACACCTTTCACTCTCCCCACTGGCTCTCTGACACTGTGACACACAGTCCTAGGACTTGCCCATGGCTTAGCTGTAACACTAGACAGTTGACTGTGACACAGTTCAAATCAAGAAAATACAGGTGTGATATTTCTTACCGCTTGATTAGGGAAATAAGTTCCAGCTTTCTTGGGATCCAGGTGCATAAAGTCAACCAGGCCAGTGAAGAATGAGAGGAAGTTTAATGTAAGGCCAAGTGGAGTCACCTAGAAGTAACAAGTTAGGAAAAACAGCTCTCTGAAGGAACCGTTAACGCGAAACATACTGTTCATACTAACACAATGCCACAATTCCATAGTAACTGTGTGTTTCTCCTCTCCCAGCTAATCCTTATCAATCACCTTATAAGATTAAGTCGCAGGACAACTCCTACCACTGGCTTTGTCTTTATTCAGTAAGCTCACCTCCCTTTTGGCCCGAGAGGGTGGGTATCAATCCTCCTACCTTCGGGATTTTCCAATCAGATGTAGGTCACTGTGTACATGGATCCTTGGGGGAACTGCTAGACTGAACTAGAACAAATTGTTGCTAACTTAGTGATCTTCCCAGACTAAAAACATAAAACCCAAATGCTTGCAAAAGATAAATACTGAGCATGAGCAAGCCAATTCACCCTAGAGCCCCCCAAAAGCTAAGGAATTATAGGACACAAGCACCTCAAAAAAGCACAATGAGGTTGGTGACTGACATCAGGGAAACTAAGTAAGATCCCCAGGTCTTCTCCTCAAATGACAGTGTCTACCCTTCTCTCACCTCCACAGAAAATGAGAGTTATTCTTTGGGAAAACTATACCAGGCTCAAAACACAGGAAGAGTGCAAACCCTCAAAATGTGGACTAAGAAAAATTCTGAATATCAAATAAACATAGATATGGAGTGATCTAGTCCCCTTCTGTCACCTAGCTCTCAGGCAGCCAGGTTTATACTCTCCTGGGAGATCAGAAGATCCTTCCTAGAGAATTCTAACATGCCAGAGAAGTCTTGTAATAGTGACATTTGGAGGTTGCCCAAAGAAAAGTCTGCTAGCTCTTGACACTGATAGTCAACAGTCACCAAGTCCCATCCAACCACATAGTTTTTTGCACCCCACTCATAATACTCAGTCAAAGCAGAATTTCAATAGAGAGTGCAACATTAAAGTTGAGAGACTCTCCCAGGAGAATTTAATATATCTCTGTTAGGAGGTTGGAGGAAGGAAAAGGAAAATTAAGAGAGCCGAATTTTCATCTACCTAGATTAAGAAGTTAAAACTCAATCCCTAAAGCTGATAAATCAAAGATACCATTAGGAGTTTACTACTTAGAAATATGGAGGTAAATTAAAAAAAATAAACTGAGAGAGTTAAAAATGGGGGTTAAGGATGAGATAATTCTTTATTGTAAGCCTCCTAATACCATTTGACCTTTTTGATCTGCACTATCAAATGGAGATATAATGCAAGTCACATACATAATTTTAAGTTTTCTAGCAGTCACATTTTAAAAACTACCAAGAAACAAGTGAAACTTAGTTTAATGAATATTATTTCACTCAATACATACAAAGTATTATTTCAGCAGTAGCACTGGCTACATTTCAAGTATGTAACAGCCATGTGTGACTAGTGGCAACCTACTGGACAGCCCAATTTTAGACAAGTGTGCATGCACTATTTTAAAAAAAATTATCTTTATTTTAAGGAATAGTAGTAACAATCAATGGCTTACCTTCTGAACTTGGGCTTTGACCACCAGCCCTGGCAGCAAGTTATTAAGGGTCCACTTTTGCTCCTCAGCAGCAATGGCAGTAGAAACTTCTGAATGACCAATAGACAGCCTAACAACTCCTCCGCTGCCTTTCACCTCTTCAATGATGCAGTTCAGGTATTGCCCCACCTTCAGTTTAGCACCTGCAAGCCCCAGTCCCAGCCCCAAAAAGGAAAAAGACCTCTGTGAGAAGGACCTTAACTTGAGTTCAGCCTATGCCAGAAAAAAATCCATGGCCTACCTGACTAGTTACCATGTACTACTACCCACATTCCAAATCTCTAAGGGACCAGCTACAGGAAGAGAAAGAAGTCACCCTAACTGATCTACAATCAGCTACCACACAAAAATCTGAAAATCCCAATGAGGCAGGAGAGTGCTGGTTCAGGGGCCCTGGAGGCCCAAATTTCAGTGCAATCTTCTAGGTGAGAAAAAGTGAAACTGGTTCATCAGATCTTAACGAGACCCTGGCACTACCTGACCCTTCACACATCTTCATATTTTTATCAGGTTACACTGCTGATATTAGCAAAGCCATCAGGGACCACCATTCTGTCATTTTACTCACCCAAGTGGCATTCAAATACAATCCCCACATGTACCACCTCACTACAATGTACTGGCACCTCACCTTTGTTCTTCTGCTGGATATATTCCTGGGCTTTCTGCAGTGGCAGAAAGGCTCTGGCCCCACCAACACCAATGTCCACTAGGTAGCCATGGTCTTCCAAGCTGGACACAGTGCCTGTGAGCAGCTGGAAGAGAAACATTCCCCCAGGGTTGAAAAGTCAAAGGTACTAGGACACACAACATCCACTACCAAACATGAATGTCCCTGCTGGGACATTCTCTGCTGGGAGAGTCTCTCAATCTCGACACAATGATAGTCCTACAGCCCCCAACACCACTTTTAACTTTAAACCTCAATCCCACCAGAGGATAGAAAAGGGAAAGACATCAGCTTCCATTCTCTGAGGGCTTGAAAGATCTTATGGATTCCAGACAGTGAGGAGTGTTACACACGGTTGAAGAGTGGAATGATAAGAGAAGAGTTTCTCCCCTAGAGAACTTCCAAAAGATAGCAAAGACTTTTATATTATATAAAGAGGGATAAACCAGATGGCCCTGAAAGGTTATTCCCAGCACCAGGACTAACGAGAATCCAGAACTACCCCTCACAGTCACTGTGTCTTTTCAAAGCACTTCCAAGACATTAAAAAAAAAAATTGCCAATCTCCTTTACATTTCATGGCAAACAGTGTGGCATCCAAGTCTGGCTAGCTATTTGGTCTTTGGCAAATCACAAACCTTTCTGAGTCCATTTTCCCAAATGTACAAGAGGGAGAGCTCACTGTGACAGTTCCTACAGATAAAATGTCTAAAACAGCACTTGTCAAAAGGCTCTCAACACTTGTCAATTTCCTGCAACCTGGCTTACTTTGATTTCCCATACCACCCAATTTTCAGGGCCTGTTCTGAACTCTACTACTGCCCACCAAACGTTACAATATCATATCAATCTCCCTCCTTTTAATTACAAGAGCACTTAGATGAATATAGTTTATATGAGTGTGTTTTCTGTCTACCAGACTTGGAGGCTTTGAGCTAGAACTAATTTCTCCTGAGTCTCCATAGGACTGTGTGGATAAAGTGAAGGTTCCTGTGGCCAGGATTCTCACCTGGCCCTAGTCGGCTAGCTCACTACACACATGGGGGCAATACGTTGTTATTGACTCTATATGAACAGCTCCGCCCAGTGCTCTGCACAACACAGTGGCACACCTGAAAGGCTGCAGGAGAGCAGAGCAGAGGCTGGAGTGGTGGCAGCACCGAGGATGGCTGGGGGGTTAGAGAGGCCCAGAGGCAGAGACAGACTTGCTGCATGCAGACTTGCTCTAGATGGACGGGATTCTAGTGACTGACCTGCCACCGTGGGAATAAAGTTGGGTATAACCCTTTCACCCCAAGAATGTTCTACTGTCATTTCTTTGGTCTCATTGAATCCATAGTGAACTTGGCCAGGGCTGAAACCCATTGGCAAGACAAACTGGGAGATTCAATAGTGGGCTATCTATTGTTGCAGCAGATAAACTAATGCCCTACCTACCCAGTCTTTTGATCTCAGAGAGCAGCCCTCAAGTATGCTCCACAGATGCCAGTGGCCTTTGAAAAAGACTTAGTCTTGAAGAAGTCTTGATAGGTAAGGCTCTTGAGGAACTTCTCACCCTTGCTAAGACTCCTTGGAAGCTCTTTATTTTTTTTGGCCATCAATGAATCAAGGGATTTGCTTTCCCTTTCTCCCTTCCAAGGTAACGTGATTAGGCTCAAGCCTTCAATTTAAGTACCCAAAGCACCCTTGAGACCTTCCCCGGGGAAAAGACCCATCCCTGTGTGTATAACTTAAAGGCGGGCTGTACACTCCCCAGGAGGCAGGGCAGGGAGAAGGCACGTTGTCTGCTTCTCTTTCCATATACTTACCATGCCAGGCTTCAGGGCCTCAGCACTCAGCACTTCATTGACATTTTTGGGGTTCAGAGATAGCTTAACACTCTTTTTGCCCCCCTCTGTGATGCACAGACTGATCACCACACATCTCACCAGCATCCCAGGTGAGAAGAGTTCAGGCAAGCAGACCAGGTCCTGCATACAGATGAAAAACATCTGATAAACACCCTTTCCCTGAACCAAGAATCCTCTGCCCAGGCCTGGCTCGGGGGCCCAGTCTCATCCTCAGACCTCAAAGTCAACATAACAAAAATTAAAATCATAATCATCTCTCCCAGTCCAGGTTCCCTTTCAGGGTTTCCTGTCTCGAGATGGCATGGCTGTCAAGTCATACACAAGAGAAACCTAGGACTCATCCCCAACACCTCTCTCTGCCTCACCACCCCCAGGCATTGACTCTCCCTCCTCAGTCCTCACTAAATCTTGAATGCAAACTGCCATCAATCTCAAAGCCTAGACTACTGTAGGAGCCCCCTAACTGGTCTCTAGGCAACTACACATTCCTCTTCCACCTATTCTCTATGCTGTCTACATGTCACACTCCCCAGGCAGAATGCTTCAAGGGCTTCCACTGGTTCTAGAATTAAAAACCAATCCTTAACATGGTATGGCCTCCACCCAACTCTCCAGCCCCATCCCACACTACTCTCCTTTGCTTTCTCTGCTCTAGTCATACTCGCCACCTCTCTGCTACATATTACGTTTCTACTGCTTCAACTCCATTCCTTCATCCATAACACCCTCATCCTTCAGATCTCAGCTCAAGCATCCCTTCCTCAGGGAAGTCTTCCAGGCTCCCTGGGCTAAGTCAATTTTGACTGACTTATATTGATGCTTACTTAAAAAAAAAAAATCTTCCTTATAAACTCTCATGGCACTTGTACCTTGACTTCTTTGCACCTAATGAAATTGAAATTTTACATCTGTTTGTGTACCATTTATTTCCAATTATAGATTTCACCGGGTTTCCCTTACCTTGGAAGGTTCTTCTTGTGCCACCTGCTCATTCAGCTTTTTGGTATAAGCATCACAGATTTCAGTCACTTGCACAAACCCCTTGAGGCCATTGGGGAGACTAATCACCAATTCCAGCTCATTTACCTCTTTCACACAACCCAAAATCCGCATCCCCTCACATAGGGACTAGAAGAGAAAAAGTGAAGTGTGTACAATAGGGTAAGGACTCAGTGATGGGGAAGGTTAGGGGGTCTGGCTTCTAATCCCAACTCTGGCATATAAAAGCTACAGGAAATACATATTTGTAGATGTCAGTACATTGTTCAAACATCAACCCGCTGAGCACAAAAAAGGTCTCAATAATAACAACAGTGTGAAGAGCACTAGGGTACTGGAGGGCTTTCACTTTTCATTTTATTCCACCTTTCACCTTTCATTTGATTCCAAACAACCTAAACTCAAATGCCTGGCAGGCAACGAAATGCAGGAAGCAACCAGTGGGGCCATGGCAGTCTAGAGCGGGCATGCTAAGTCAAAGGGGCACAACCACTTCAGCTCCATGTGACCACAAACATGAGGGAATACGAGTTGTGTTGTGAGCACTCTCAGATTTTTACAAGAGGCCAGAAATCACCACTTCATGTGAAATTTCTTAGTTTTTTAATGTTGTCAAGCTAAACCACTGCTTTTTTTGAGTATCATACAGAACACACAGAATACTTCTACAGGATGAATCTGAATCTTTTCCTTCAGAATCATTTGACTTTTTCTGTTTTACAATTAATGTATATCAGAATTAAAATCTAAAAAGGTAAGGAACATAATAAGACTTCTTAACTTCTGAGAGAGTTTCCACAGCTATGAAATGAAAGGGCAGAATCAGAATGACTGTTAAAGTTATTTCCAGTTCTAACCTCTGAATCTACTAAAACATAAGTTCCGCGAGGACACAAGCAGGCAGATGGACTCACGGGAAAAAAACACACTATCCCTGACACTGGTTAAAAATCGAAGGAAAAAGTGCTCAATTCCGAGCACAAACAGCAAAAATCTCTATGGACGCAAACACATATATGTAAAAGCAATGAAGGGAAAAAGGAAGGAGAGAAGGAAGAACACATATGAACTTAGGCAACCCAGATCGTTTGTTTAAAACAAAACCAAACTTTTAACAAACCTCAATACTAAGGAGTTCGAACTTCTCTCTTACAGACTTGCAGCTTTCTCTCTTTTCAGTTTTCAATTTTTTTGTTTTTGCTGGCCCTTTCTGGCTCTTTTTTCTTTTGGTGGCTCCCTCCTCAGTAGAAATCTAAAGAGGGGAAAAAAGATCCAAAGGAATGAAAAGAAGCAATCCTGCCCTTTCCCTCCAATTTCATGCCATCTGTCACCTTGCTTATTCTTCCACTCCACCTACTCCCAATTGTTCCTGTAATTCCCGCTTCAATCCCAACTCTGCCATTCTGCCACCAATCCTCCCTTTGCTCAAGGTCTGAGCCTCCAACATATTTGCAAATGCCCTCTCTCTCCTGTTTTCCCCTCTTTTGAGTGGGGCTGGACTCTAGGGTTCCCCAGTATGAGAAGCAATTTTGAACAATGTGTGAAAATGGAAGATGGAGTCACAGAAACCAGAGTTAAATTCCCAACTCCACCATAACAAGCTATGTATGAAGTTTCAGCTGAATTGCACCTCACTAAGCCTTTGTTCCTCATGGAATGGTGATCTCTACTTCATAGTAGTTGTAAAGATTACATAAAACAGACACAAGGCCATACATTTAAATGTTAGTTTCATTTGAAGCATTATCAGGTGAAGACTGGTAATTCTAATGCAAATTCTGATTGCTATACCCCATTCAAAAATGCAATGATTCAACTGCTTTCTCTCCAACCTTAATCAATGTGGCACGAAGTTCCAAATAAGGAATAGCATAGCAAACTCAAATACTAAATGCCAGGCTTCAAAAGATACAGCCTCAGGGTGATATGGGCTCTGTATCAAGTTCAATTTACAAAAGTGGACTTCAGAGAGAAACAAATTTAGAAAATAACACATTCTCAAACAAGGCTCATTCTTCAAAAGAACACTAGAGACAAAGTGTTCAGTGAGTCTTGCCAAACAAGCACATCACTTACGCTAAATAAGTTGTCTTGTTCAACTGGTTGCTGGAATACTTTCTCTGATTTGTGGGTCTTTCTTGTACCCCCTCTGGGGAAGCTTTCTTCCACGGTTGCCATATTTGGAACTCCTAAAAACAAGGCAGAGTAATGGTGAGATATAGCCTTCATGTCAGATTTCCTAAAGGCTGTGATCAATAGGCAAGACAGTGAGCCTTCTAGCACAGATGTACTAGACAGCATTCAGGATGAAGAAATAAATGATTTGACACCAGGCTCCAGATAATCCATAATTTATCTTTCCAAAGGTCTCCACTTCAAAACCACAAGCCAACACATTTTCCTCCAGGAAAAGAAGTTATGGATTCAATCTAGTAAATATCATAAACCACTACAGTTAAGTCAGGATACACAAATACATATCCTCCTACCTTCAAAGAACATGGGCACTTTTACAAAGATAGAACAATTATGCAAATAGTTTAAAATACAAATTAAATTATAAACTATCTACAAGGAGAGAGAAGTGATGAGGCTTCAGTAAAGGAAGCCAGTTTCATAAAGAAGATGCTTTTGAGTTGAATGTTAAAAGATGAGTAGAATTTTGATAGATGGGCAGTGAAAAAAGGACTGTGAGGAAAGACATCCAAACAGGAAAAGCCAATTATTTCAATAAGCACCAGAAATCTATCATCAAACAATTGCTCAAAAGCTTGTTGTTTCCTTTCTTTGAAGAACTGTTAAACTAGACTACAGAGAGAATAAAGCATAATAATTAGAAGTACGTTTTAAAAGACAGATTGGGCTTTTGTGCGGAAGATCTTGAATTACATATGAGTAACTTAATGTTCATTGTGGTAAGTCAGAGCCTTAAATAAGTGAAAAGAGAGAACAGTACACAAGAAAAACAATACAGGCTATAAACTGGACAAGGTGAGTGGGAACTTTAGGAATCTAAACCGGGTAGGATTCAACTGCCTGACAAGAGAACCAGATATAAGTGCAAACGGAACACAGAAGTAGTTGGCTCTGATAGGAGTAAAAATCTGGAAAGACTTGAGACTGTTAAAGAGGTGACAACCGAGAGAACCTTGGATTTGCGATCAGGAATGGGTGCACGTTTCGTAGAAATAGGGTAAATTTGCTGGGATTTGATCCTTAATCTCGTTTCAGACGAGGGGAAACTGAAGGTTCACAGAGTAAAGTGAACCAGCGGCAAAGCAAGGGGCGAAGCCACTTCCTGGGGCAGAGCCTGAGGTTAACGGGGGCTCCTCAAAGCAGAGCCGGCTTCTGGGCCGGGCTGCGATGGCTGAACCACTCACTCAGCACGGAGGGCGCACGGCAGCGACCTGAAGGACCTCGCTCTGGGGCAGTTTTGGAAGCCACGAGATTTCCTCCCTTCTCGCCTTTGCCCTCACTCACCAGCCTAAGACGCCACCACCTCGCTACCTCGGAGCCCGCGCCACGGTAACCACACACGCGGAGATCAGCACGCCTGCAAACTAACTCTCCCTTTCCGGAAGTGTAGGCGGGCTCAATGCCCTACTTCCGTTACTAAGCCGCTTCTCATTAGGCAAGGGCGGGGGATTCAGGGAAAGGAAGCGAAAGGGCGGGACTTCGAGCCACAGCCAATCGACGCAGAAGTTGAACGCTCTGGAGGGTGGAACGCGTGCGGGGGAGGTGGCTACTTCCGGCTGGGCCGAGGGGTTGGTTGCGTACGTTGAAGGACACCATCTGCCGAATTCGTGCTTTCTTAAAGGTAGGTGTTAAGGGGAGCTAGGCTCTGACCGGCATGGAATCCGACCACTCCTGGTACGGGAACACCGTGAGATCTTTGCTTTTGGGGGCGATAGCAGTGGAGAATGGAAAAGAAATTAAGAAATGACGAGGGCCTGGTGCGAGCGGTCGGACTCGGCTGGGAAGCCTCAGAGCGAAGCGGAGCAGCGTTCCCAGAGCCTTCCATAGTTCCCGGACGCCCGTGGATTATGTAATTCAGTGGAGAAAAATGAGGCCCGCGGCGGAGTCCCCCAAGGTCACCCAGTGACGTAATATTGGGCGAGAACTCGGGCTCTGACTCCATCGCTAGCCGAATTAACCTCTTTTTTTCTGTATACCCATAGCAGTTTGTTTCCATTGTGCTGTGCTTAGAAAGCTAGCCAGCCAGGTCTCCTTTAGAGCTGCGCTGCAGCCTTTGTCAAAGCGAGGATGATTTAGGCAGTCCCGCGCGGTAAACGCGTTAGATTTCAGTCTGTGCTGGATCAACTGGAAGGCCTTTTCGAGGAGATAGCCAGAACAGAGAGCTGTAAACTCCTTGAAGTACAAGAGGCTGCTTCTGGTACCCTGAGAGGCACTCTTCTTTGCCTCCTTTACCTCGTGATCTCACCGTTCCAGGTAGGTGTCCAGTCAGACAAGAAAACAGTATCAGAGAAAGCGAGAGCAGTTGGTCACTTTGGGCATTTTATGAAATGCCCATTTCAGAAGTGAAGAGAGGCTTGAAAGGATTAATTTAATAGTAGTTCGCTGCTTAGTTAAAAACAAAAGCGAAGACCCCCTCACCTAGACTTTCCACAGGCTACACCATTTAGTAATTAGTACAAATGTTACTCTTAGGTAATTTTCTCTTTAATATCTTTCCAAACTATGACTCAAAAGGAAATAAAGTTTTAGTTCAAATATTAAAGGGTGCTTCAGAACAAGGGTTCCTGATCTTTGCTCCTAAGTAATCCGTAGTTTGCTGAAGGGAGCAGTCCCAAGGATTTCCAAGCTTTGCTCCATTGTTTGTCTCACCAGCAACATCCCACTCCCCTCTTCTCCCTCCATCTCAGCCTCTCAAGAGTCTTCAAGACGCAGACCAAATTTCACTTACTATACTATATGCTATGCCCTCCCTGCAGTCAGAATTAGTCCTCTGAAATAACACAAACATTAGCCGTCCTTCCGTTCTGTATAAAGGAGAGCGAAATTTTAAGCACCTTAATATTGTTTCAGTTGGATACCACAGCTTCCCAAAAATTTTTGTCAGACACAAGTGGAGTTATCAGTAAATAATTTGAAAAGTTGGGTCATTGCTTTCTCTAGGGTTCCTCCTGGAAACCTACTTGATACTGTAAGAAACCAAATATGTATCGTGAGATGAATGGGGGTAAATGTATTCCCTTAAGTTTAGTAAAATGAGACAGTTAATATAAAAGCTACATCATAAAGATTTCTTTTAATGGAGATTTTCCTACATGGACTGGACAGGCCACAGCCCCGAGTAAGTTTGGATTTCCATCATTGTTCCAAGATCCTTTTTGAACCACTTCAGAATTAAGGTCATTTGTCCAAATTTTCATTGCCAATTCTGTGCTGATGAATGCCTCTGAAGACTTTTGAATGGTGAATGGGGGAGTGCCGGTTTCCATAGCAACAACTTCCTCACTGATCTCTCCCTCTTCCATTTCATCAAGAGCCAGCTGAATCACTTCCACTGCCTACCAATCTCGACCGGACCTCGACCGGCTCGTCTATGTTGTCAATCGACTCGGCGTGGCGTCGGTCGTGGTAGATAGGCGGTCATACATACGAATTTTCAAGTGTTTCTGGTGACCTTTTAATGTGCTTTTTCTGTTTTTTATTTATAGGCGGTCATACATACGAATTTTCAGGTGTTTCTGGTGACCTTTTAATGTGCCTTTTCTTTATTGTAAAAGAAAGAAATGGCCTTTGTAAAATATAGGTACAATAGATAGAACTCCTCTTAAAAGTCTGCTTGTGTATTTTGTCAAAGTTTTTTTCTATATAAAAATATGTATCTGTTACTGCAGTGTTTTTCAAACTTTAATGTATATCGGAAACACCTTAAGGGCATATTAAAACAAGATTGCCATGCCCCAGTTTCTGATTTAGTAGGCCTGAGGTAGGGCCTGAGAATTTGTATTTCTGACAAGCTTCTTACAGTGCTGATGGTCCGAGGACCAAACTTTTAGAACTGTTGATGAGCTAACTAGTGTACAGAAATAGGATTAGAAAATATATTTACCACTACATGGGCACTTCTTTCCATGTCCATAAAGCTCCACACACACTGTATTTCCTCCCATGGAAACTCATGTTTCCTGTAAATGGACTTGGAATTTTCCCAGTTTTTTACTTTTATAAGCAGTATTTCAGTCACCATCCTTGAACTATGTAACATGTATCCACATTGTAATATTTCTATAAGGATGAATTTCTGTAGAACAAATGAACTAACTAAATGGTACACTAATTTTATAATTTGATACATACAACAAAATTGAACTTTAGGAATGTTGTACCAGTTAACACTCCAGACCACTGAGGGAATGCTTATTTTCTCACATTTTTAAACTGCTGCTATGTTTGCTAGTCTGATGTTGAGATGTTGACCTCGTTGTAATTTCTTTGATCACAAGGTTATCTTTTTGTTTTTGGCCCTATTTTCCATTCTTGAAGATGATTAAAGTATTTGCCCATGTTTTCCAAGATTTTTTGGTTTCATTACTTATTTATAAATGTATCTATTTTGGTGTAACTAGTTAAGGATTCTAGCTTCCCCACTACCACCAATAGCTAATTTACATCAACTCCATTTAGTAAACAGTTGTGAAAGGAGGGGTTGCTCGTTGTGCTGTTTGGTTGATGGTTACCCTCTGAGAAACTTTAAGAAGTATCCAAGCTCCAACTTTAATCTTAAAACCGATTAATCCATACATGGTATATCATGGTATAGAAAGAACCAGTAATGAAAATTATCAAGTATCATTGGATCAAAAGGTGGACTTAGAAACCACTGTTCTCTTTTTATGCAATTTGACATATTCTAGAGTGTTGTATAATAGCAACTAAAGTAAAGTCCTTCCAGAAGTTTCTTTCAACAAGGTTTTTCCCAACTTTGCTACTGCTGTTGAGCAAGACACACATAAAAATTGGCAGTATGTGCAATAATTCAAGTTTTTAAACTAAAAATAACTCTTTTAATTGCATCCAAACCAATTTATTGTTTATTGTTGCTTCTTTTTTAAGATTGAAATCATGGCAGGTCCAGAAGCTGATGCCCAATTCCAATTCACTGGTATCAAAAAATATTTCAACTCTTACACTCTCACAGGTAGAATGAATGTAAGTATTAATGAGACCTTTAACCAGTTATATTTTAGAACAATATAGGTGGCAGTGAGACTTGTTTACTTTTTCCTTTATTTTCAGTGTGTACTGGCCACATATGGAGGCATTGCCTTGTTGGTCTTATACTTCAAGTTAAGGTCTAAAAAAACTCCAGCGGTGAAAGCAACATAAATGGTAAGGAGTTGACATTTAAAAGTTTACAACTTGGCCATTTTGATGTTGGGGTTTTCCCCCCAAGAGTAAATTGTTGCCATCGTGCAAAATTACATGCAAGAAAAAAAAGAGGAAAATACTGCCCATATCCCTTTGTCCTGGCAATTTTTGTTATCATTTTGATTTAGCTTTTTTTGTTTGGTTTCCAGTGTCAATAATTTTGTCTTTTTAACAAGTTACATTCCCTATTATTGAATGAATGCATGAGTGCTCATAGATATATATTTTACAGGAGATTGTGTATTAGAATTTTTTTATATAACATCAAAATGAATGCTTTTGATCATGAAATGTTGTCTATACCTATAATTGTTTTAGGCTAAAGTGCTTACCCCAAGCGTTGTGGAACACCCAGCTTTGTAAGAGGGTGTCTCTTTTGTCCCAGCCAATGTTGAGTATCGGTTTTTGATTTCTGTTAATTTAATGAGTAAAAATAACTGATGAAGTTGTGCGTTTTTTCCAATTGTTTACTGTTTGTATTTTTCTTAATCCTTTCATGTACTTTTCTCATTTAACAGTTGGGCCTTTCTCTTTGTGAAGACTTTAATTTCTCGTATAAGCTCTTTATGTAATTACTAACCAACCTTTTAAATCAGTTGCAAATATATCTTATAATTTTAAATAAGCAATTCTGTCTCTTCCTTAAATCCCCATAGACTTCATTTTGTTCCCCCCAAGCCCCATATGCCTGTGAATAAACACTTGCTGTATTGCCAGTAGATGATGTGCAGAAAACCTAAAACCCAGGTCTTTAACGTAGCTCTCTACATAGAAAATTTTGCCTCTGCTTTTAAGAGCTTTTCCAATCTCAAAACTATTGCCCTTAGAGAACTTCAGATCCCAGAATATAGTGGTCTGTGGCTTACACCCAGCAGAGGTAGTATTCTGCCTAATTTTCCATATTAGGTACCTCCTAACTTTGTGAAGGTGGCAGTATCCCCATTATAAATGAAGAAATTGTCTCAGATAATAACATACATATTTTCTGCTGCTTAAAATATTACTTTATATACTAGGCTTTTCCAATAGTATACATTTAGGCTCATAACAATTGTTCACACCTCTTTTGTTAAAGTTGTGGTGTTAGATTGTATTAAGCTGAAAGACACCTTAAATTTGGGGGTTACCTCTGAGAATCTGAATTTGCATTCAGTTTCAGGGGGTTTATGGATAATCCTGCACTAGTAATTACTGAGTGTCTACTCATTGAGTAGAACACATTTGTGTCTAAACTATTTTTACTTTGTTTATAGGATTCCGAACTATACCTCCTCTGTTAAAGTTCCCAGGCCTAGAGAAGCTAATGTCAACTCATAAAATGTGATACTCAATTTGTACAATAAATTATGAATCTGGAAAAGCTGTTTGTCTTTATTTACAAGATATCAAAAATATAAAAACTGTACAAAATGCAACAAAGGCAAAAACTGGCAGTGACTTGGTCTAAATCTTATTAGTTTCTGAAAGCAAGGCTCAGTACTGGAGGTAAGCAACTGAAATGTCTGTCTTGACTTCAAGTGTACTAGGTTGTAGGTAGTCATTTTAGCTGAAGTAGAACATGGAGGATGAATTTCTTCACCTAGAGTGTTTAGATGCACTCAAAATCCAATAGCTTTAAATTCAAATGTCAGTGGGTGCTTGTACTTCATCTAGTTCTTGGAAAGGAACTGTAGTTCACCCTACCCAATTAGGTACACTCCACTAATCATGGGCCAAGCCACAATGTTAGATCATTTAACATAGCACTTGAGTGCCATACAGTAACTACATTTTTACAGCAACAATATACATGCTCATAGACTTCTTCAGCTAAAATTCAAGATGGTATTACTCAATTTGAATCTTGAAGCAGGATGATCAAAATCAGTTCTTTTTCTAAACATAATAAATTAAAATAGCATTTGAACAGAAAATGCATAGTTTCCACACAATCCAAAGCACCATAAATGTCCCCTCCATGAACATAATAACCTCTTATTCAACTAACGGAAATTAGTTAAATGTGGTTGCTATAGAAACGTGGAACTGTCCTATTCAGATTTTCCAAGCAGCATACTCCAGATCCATCTAGACAAAACATTCTTTGTAGCTTAAATATTAATCACTGAGGTATTTGCTTTTAGTCTCCCTTTTTCAAACAGTAGCTTCCAAAAGGTCTTTAATACCGATGGTTTATTGTGGACTATAAGCTCCTGCAGCTAGAACCAAATTTCTTCGTGTAAAATGGAGGTGTACAACTGGTGTTGATTTGGTCATATATGTTCCCAACAATAACTCCTGTGAATTCTCAGGTAAATTTATATGCCCAGTGGCTGTAGTAAAGTCATCAGTCTCTAAATCTTCAAATGCTTTGACAGCGTCCCATAACCGAACTGTATTGTCCATTGAACCTAAGGGAAAGGAAAAGGAAACCATTTACTAGAATCCACCATATTTAGATTCTGACATTCTGTTAAGTACACTTTTTGTATTTATATTTCTGGTGAAAAAAAGAATCTAAATTTGATTAATAACTATTCTTTCTAAAAGGGCATTTCAAGAAGTAGGTTAACCTGAGGAGTTAATACACATGTAGGGTGATATTCAGGAGTCATAACAAGAGAAGCAAAATGTAAAACAACTTAGTGTTGGCAATTGTCAGTACTTAGAATTTCCTTTTAACATACCATTTACCCTTTACCACAAAGCCATTTGTCATTTACCTGATGCCAAAATTTCACCATCCCTACTAAACCTAAGTGAACAGACTGTATCAGTGTGGCCTTTTAATTCTCCAACCATCAAGCCATGTCCAATATCCCAAAGGAGTACTCTGCCATCTGTTGCTCCTGTAGCCAGGAATCTCCCATTGGGAGAAAATGTCAAGGAATGAATTGGTCCCTAAAAAAGAAGTCCACAAAAAGAATCAAAAGTAGGGTTAAAAATAAGACAAAACTAGAATTTTAAAGGTTAGGGGTATGAACAAAATGTATCCCTGGTAAATTTTTTTAACATTTTTATCTCAAAAGTAACCTTGTGTGCTGGAATAATGAAGGTGTAAAATACCTTGTGTCCAGTGAAGATCCTTACACAGTTGCCATTCAGGACATCCCAGAGCCTCACAGTTCTATCCGCAGAGCCCGTAGCAACATAATTAGAATTTGGATGGAATTTGGTACAATTCACATCAGCAAGATGGCCAGCAAATATCCTTAAAGGCTGATAATGGTCTGTAGCCCAAAGCCTTTGAAAAAATGTATTGAAAGCAAAAGATGATAGTACTTTCCTAGGAAATACCAAATTTCTATCCAAAATATAGAAATGTCCATGTGAAATGTTAGTTCCAAATGGGTCCCCCTTCACTAGTTACCTAAGGGAAAGAAGGTGGAATGAAAAACTAAAAAAAATTCTTAAGAAATACCAAGTTGATCTGATACAAAAATTTCCCAATTTTATAATTCTTTAGGTCTCGTACCATCCCAACTTCTACCCCATTTCCTGGTTTGACCCGTAGAATAGTATTTTTCCCTAGTTTTGGCACCATAAAATTAGTTTCTAACCTGAACTACCTCATCTTGAACTTTTAAGAGATGACAGGAAAACTAAAGTACAGTGGAAATGTAAGACAAGGTTTTGCATCTGGCAGGCAGGGGTTGGGGTAGCATGTTAGTAAGCTAACTTGTAAAAGGGAAATGTTGGGGGAGCCTCTTAATCTTGGATTAGACATAAATACAGACATAGTAATACTCTTGTCCCAAATTCATTTTCAAATGAGCTATAAATGCTGACACACTCAAAAAGTTGATCCTGAATAAAGAAGTAAAAATGAGTTTGGCTGGAGTTTAATTCCCAAAAAGAAACCATTCTGTTTCTGAATAGATCTAGTTGTAAGATCACAATGTTCTTACCGAGCTACTCGGTCATGGCCCCCTGACACAAAATAATATCCATATGGAGAAAACTGTGTGTCCCATACTGGATAGTTGTGTCCTTTATATCCCACCAAGCAAGTAAATGTTTGAAGACTCCACAATCTAACAGTTCCATCTTCTGACGAGGAAAGCAGGTAGTTCCTGAAAGAAGAGAAGGTAATATATTTGATTCCTAGAATAACTTAACAGTTAACTGTCCAGTTTCTCTGTACATTTGAATATATTAAATATAGCTAATATGACATGCTACATCTAAATTTATACATGATATTCACAGTACATAACAAAAGTTCAAAGTACTAACCAAACTAATGTTAGCTGTGACACCCAACACCTACTGGGAGGTTAAGTATTTTAAAAAATATATCTAGTAAGGGAAAAAAATCGATTATTTTTTAATTATACAAGATGTAATGACAAAATGCATAGACAAAAAATAAGGACAATTGAGAAAAGCTAAGAAATGTGGCATGTCACTTAAAACTAAACTTTTAACTTTAAAATGGAGATACTATTTTCCTATCCTGTATGAATCATGTAAGAATTTTTTAAAAGTCTTTCTGACAAAAAAAACCAACACTTTAGATGTAGAAATAATACTCTACGTTTTTCAGGAATAAACACAAAAACTGAACTACTCAGAAAGTATTAAGAGTCACTGAAATAAGTTTCCCTCAAGTAAAAATGCATCATTTGGCTAAACCCTATCAAACAATAAAAAAACCTCCAAGTTTCATAAAGATGAAAACCTTGATGGATTGAAAGCTATTATCAATCCAAATACGATACAAATAGTATTATGAATACAAAATTCGCTCCCACTGCCATTTCTACAGAATGCTAGAGATCATGAAAACAGGCAAATACTGATTTGTGGGTTTCAAATTCCCTTTTTAAGTATCCTCTTCATTCTTTTGATTATATATAAAAACCTTCAAATGATAGCTAATATGCCTTTAATATCAGGAGTCTGTTGTGAATTTGGAGTTGGAAGACACCAGTAGCCACAAAACCCGTGGCAAGAACCCAAAGAAGCAATTCAACATTTTGGGGGGGTTACTACTAAAAGTAGTTTTTAAACCAGCAAATCTGGAGGTTGTACATCTTGATTTTATAAATTTGGGTATACATTAGGTTACTATCTTGTACATCAGTACCCCAAGATGAATTAGCAAATGGCAAGATTCTAAAAGATCTGAATGATAAGAAACTATTTTATTTTTATAACAGAATTCTAACATTTGCATGCTTACAGTGTTAACTTTTACATAATCTCAACATAATACAGCAGTGTTTAATTTTTATTGTCTGTATTTTACCTATCTGGACTGAAGCTGGCTCCATAGACAGGCCCACTGTGACCATACAAAATCTTCAACTCACTTGCTGTTTTCTCATCCATGATTCTTTCTAAGACATCATCTGATTCTTTGTCTATAAGGCTAAGATCTAAAATAGTCCAGAAATACTGATTTTTAAAAGTACATTCATTAGAACATTTTAAGACAATTACATCACACATCAGAAGAACTAACATCTGAACAGTTCCTCCTCCATACCAACCACTGTTCTAATGCCTCTAAATCAGGTGATACTATCCCAGAGTACAGGAGAGGAAACTGAGGTTCAAAACAGTTAATAATTTGCCAGAAAGCACACAGCTACTCAATGTTGGAAGAAGGGCTAGAACTCAAATTCACCCAGTGTACCACAATGTTTCATGGAAATGAGAACTATGGAAATAATAAATTACTGAAAATGTATTGTCTTATTTAAACAACACATTTAGTAAGAAACTTTATTTAAAATGAAATCCTGACCCTATTAGTTCTATTTTAGCTATTTTTATGGCTAAAACAGAAAGCACTCTCCCATTATTTAAAGGTTTTTAAAAATTTACAAGCAATCATAAAATGCTAGATTTTTAACATTAAGAAATTTTCTAGCCTAATCCTCTCATTCTGCAGATGAGAAATCTGAGGCCCAGAAAAATTAAGCCAGTCTAGTTCCCCAGTTTCCTGATTGCCATTTCAATGCACTTTTCACTTTTGGGAATTAGCATGTGGGGGAAAAAAATCAAGTGAAATTCCACCAAGATCACAATCTCCTGTATATAATCCATGGAATCAAGATTGGTATAAACTAATGACAAGTTTACATCCTAACAGATCACCTCAGTTACCTGCTGCTTGTTTAACACTACGAAGCTTTTTGGGTGTTACAGACCACACTCTGACAGTAGAATCTGCAAAACCTCCAGCAATCAAACTAGAATCATCAGTGACATCCACTGCAGTGAGGCCCTGAATAAAAAATAAAAGCTTTGTACTAAACAATACTGTTTTAGGGGGAAAAAAATTATAATCACATCTTTAAAAATACATAATGATAGCTATTTTTCTCTTATAAAACATCTTTTGAGGTTTCATCCTCCCATGAAACCCACTAT